GTTTGAGGCCTGCTTGGTCTACCAAGCAAGTTCTAGGACAGCCAGGACTACACAGAGAAACACTGTCTGGAAAAACAATCTGATATCTCACTAAAAAACAAATGAAGGAGGATGAGGAGACAGACAGTTCAGCTGATCTTTAAAAAGACTGGGGTTCAGTTCCTAGCATCTACATGGTGGCTCACAGCCAACTCCAGTTCCAGAGATCTTCTGGCCTCTGAGAGCCCTAGACATGCATGTGGCACATGGATATACATACAGGCAAAATACTCATAAGTGTGTGTATATAATTTTAAAAAGAAATAAAATAGGGAGTGGAGCCCGTTGGTGGTGGCAAACATCTTTAATCCTAGCAGATCTCTAGGAGTTTTGAGGATAGCCTGGTCTACAGAATAAATTCCAGAACAGTCAAGGCTACACAGAGAAACCGTGTTTCAAAAAACCAAACCAAAATAAACAAAAACAAACAAAGAAAAATAAAAATAAAGGAGCTGGAGAGACTGTTCAGTGGTTAAGAGCACTTGCTACTCTTGCAGAGGACCCAAGTTCATTTTCCAGCACACACACACACACACACACACACACACACACACACACACACACACGACAACTTACAACTGCCTGTAACTCCACTGCAGAGGATCCAACTGCCCTCCTCTAACCTCTGAAGTCAACATACACTCATGCACGCATGCACTCACATACTCAGTGAATATACATACATGAAGACAAAACACTCACATGCATAAAATAAAAATAAGTAAATCTTTAAAAAACTATGTGCGAGCTGGGTGATGGTGGCACATGCCTTTAATCCCAGCGCTTGGGAGGCAGAAGCAGGTGGATCTCAGTGATTTCAAGGTCAGCTTGGTCTACAAAGGGAGGTCCAGAACAGCTAGGGTTGTTACACAGAGAAAGTCTCACCCCCCCACCACAAATGTGTGTTATGAAGGAGCACAGTATGAATTTCAGTCTATCATCATCATCATCATTTTGTGTTATTTTGAGATAGAGTCTCACCATATAGTCCTGGCTGTCCTAATACTTGCTATGTAGGCCAGGCTGGCCTCAAACTCACAGAGATCTGCCTGATTCTGCCTTCTGAGTACTGGGATTAAAGACTTGTGTTTCCATGCCCTGATTTTTTGGTCAATATATTAAGTAGGAAAAAAAGACAAAGTGGTTTCCAAACACCATGGCTCACTAAGAAAAAACAGGAACATGGGGCTGGAAAGATGGCTCAATAGTTAAGAACACTGGCTGCTCTTCCAGAGGACCCAGATTCAACTCTCAGCACCCACATGGAAGCTCACAAGTGTCTGTAGCTCCAGTTCCAGAGAATCTAAAAATAAATTATTTTTAAAAAAGAAAAGAAAACCAGGAACAGAATTCCTTGTAGACATAGGTATTAGGTTCAGGACAAGAGAGAAAACCTGGAACATCTTGTGCAGAAGAGCAACAGAATGGAGTAAAGTGATTTTCTTTTTTTATATTACAAAAATTTTATTTTTAAATTTAAATTCAAATTAGAAACAAGGTTTCTTCACATGTCAATCTCACGTCCCTCTCCCTTTCCCTCCCCCTTCCCACCAGTAAAGTGATTTTCAATAGATAAATTTGTGATAATTGGAGTATCAAAATTAATAATATTGTTGTGCTAGGCTATAAAACATTAAAGAAAAATACAAGGAAAGTAGTAACTAATGGAAGGTTACTCTACCAATAAATTCAGTTAGTAAATACAGAAAGCATTTAGGAGTCAGAAACTGGGTGGGGAGGTGCTTTTAATCCCAGCACTTGGGAGGCAGAGACAGGACATTTCTAGGAGTTCCAGGTCAGCCAGGGCTACATAGTGAGAATGTCTGAAAAAAAGTCAGGGCCAGGCAGTGGTGGCACATGCTTTTAACCCCAGCACTCAGGAGGCAAAAGCAGGTGGATCTCTATGAGTTTGAGGCCAGCCTGGTCTACAAAGCAACTTCCAGGACAGCCTGGGCTGTTATACAGAGAAAACACTGTGTCTGGAAAAAAAAAAAGTTAGAAAAGCCAGTTTTGTGTGATGGCACATGCATATAATCCTAGCATTTGGGAGGCTGAGGCAGAAGGATTGCTATGAATTCCAGGTTTACATAGCAAAGACCCTGTGTTTACAACAAGAGGAAAAACTACCCTTTTATTTCACACTCTTCCTATCAAATACCAAAACAATGGAAGTGTGATGATAATTGGGTTATTTACATCATGTCAAGGGATTACCCATAAATGATTAAGTTAATGATTAAGTTAAAGAAGATGATCTGGCAATCACCCTACATAATCAATCAAATTAGCATTATCCATATTGAGACAATCTGATACTGTGCCTTTTTTACTTTGTTTGGTTTTTCGAGACACAGCTTCTCTGTATTGTTTTGGAGGCTGTCCTGGAACTCACTCTGTAGACCTGGCTGGCCTCAAACTCACAGAGATCCACCAGGACCTGCCTCCTGAATGCTGGAGTTAAAAGCATGTGCTACCACCAATCAGCATACTGTACCTTCTTTTTCTCCCGAGACAGGGTTTCTCTGTGTAACTCTGAAGCCTATCCTGGCACTTGCTCTGTAGACCAGGCAAGTGGAATGCAGTTGTCCATGGAGGCCAGAGATGTTGATGTCCCTGGAGTTGGAATTACGGGCAGTTGTGAGCCTCCTGATGTGAGTACTGGGAACTGAAGTCAGTTCCTCTGGAAGAATAGCAACCACTCAAACATCTCTCCAGCCCTGGTAAAATTTTACTGAAAATGTCTTCAAATTGATCCAGGTTTCATATTTTACTGGCTATTAAGAAGGCACAGTATAACCCCGCATTGGTGATGCACACCTTTAGTCCCAGCACTGGGGAGGCAGAAGCAGGCAGATCTCTGTGAGTTCAAGGCCAGCATGGTTTACAGAGGGAGTTCCAGGACAGCCAGAGCTATGCAGAGAAACCCTGTCTCGAAAAACAAAAAATAAGTAAATAAATAACCTTTATTTTTCTGGGTATAGGTAGCTGAGTTAGGTGTGTCTCATAAGTCAAGACCAGCCTGGTATACATAATAAGTTCCATCTAGACCCTGTCTAAAAAAATTTAAGTACATATTTGTTCTTCACTTCTAAAAATAGACATCTTCAACCAGCAAGATGCCTCATTGGATAAAAGACACCTGCCACCAACCCAACCTGAGTTCCATCCCCAGGACCCACTCTTACTGTGGCACGTGCGTGACACACAAAATTAGACATACATTTTATGTTTCAGACCACCATGATGGCATATGCCTCCAAAAATAACTCTGTTGTGTGTGTTTGTGTTAATTATCATACCACTCTTATGACTTTATAGAATCAAGTCCATGTACTTATCATATAGTTAACATTTAAATTTCTAGACTTGTTGGAATTGAAGCATCTATGTTTCCAAATCTAGGATTTTTTTCAAGGTACCTACTTAGCTTCTTTTGTACACGTTTCCTTGTTGTTTTGTTTGTTTTTCTGTTTTGAGACTGGAACTAGCTCTTGTAGACCAGGCTGGTCTTAACTCACAAGGATCCGCCTGCCTCTGCCTCCCGAGTACTGGAATTAAAGGTGTGCACCACCACCGCCTGGCAAAAGCTATTTTTTTAAGTACTGGGAATTGAACCTAGGTCCTAGAACTCACCCATGCTGGCAAGTACTCCGCCTCTTTGTTTCTCATTTCTTTCCCAGCTTTTAAATATTTATTTATTTTGGTGCTGGGGATCAACCCTAGGGTTTTGCCCACCAATACTCTAAAAAACAAAACCTTGGGGCTGGAGAGATGGCTCAGCCGTTAAGAGCACTGGCTGCTCTTCTAAAGGGCACAGGTTCAATTCCCAGCACCCACATGGTAGCACACAACTATCTGTAACCCCAGTTCCAGGGGATACCATACCCTCACATAGATATACATGAAGGTAAAAGAACCAATGTGCATACAATAAGAATAAATAATTTTCTTTCTTTCTTTTTTTTTGTTTTTTGAGACAGGGTTTTTTGTATTGTTTTGGACACTGTCCTGGAACTCACTCTGTACACCAGGCAGGCCTGGAACTCACAGAGATCCACCTGCCTCTGCCTCCCAAGTGCTGGGATTAAAGGCGTGTGCTACAAACGTCCCGCAGAGTAATTTTGTATAACTATGAAAAAGAAAGGTGTGCGACACCACCGCCCGGAAGAATATTTTTTTTTTGGTTTTTCGAGACAGGGTTTCTCTGTGGCTTTGGAGGCTGTCCTGGAACTCACTTTGTAGACCAGGCTGGCCTCGAACTCACAGAGATCCGCCTGCCTCTGCCTCCCGAGTGCTGGGATTAAAGGCGTGCGCCACCAACGCCCGGCAAGAATAATTTTTTTAAACTATGAACATGTTAACGGTTGTGACTATCGAAGTGCAGGTTGCCTGTTTTACTAAGCTTATTTATTTATTTATTTATTTATTTAATTCATAAGGATCCTCTGGGTTCAGCCCCCCAAGTGCTGGACTAAGCGTCACCCTTTGCTATGGGGGAAATGTACAGTCAAAACAAGTAAGTAGTGTTCCTACCTCTGGCACAATTGATAGCAACATTCCCTCGGGGACCGGCACAAACCGGAAGATCCTGTTCAAATCCTTACTTCCGTGCATTGTAGCCCGTGACCCGCAGTTTTCAGGGGGCATAGGTCGTGTGACCTCAGAACTTCTTTCTTATTGGAGGAAAATCTGCCTCTCTTGCCCTAGCAACCCGAACGTTCCCGCGCAGTCTGTGGGCGGGACAGAACGCTTCCTTTGACCAATCACCTTCCATTTCCCAGCCTCCTGATCTTGGGTAGACCAATCAAAAACCGTTAGTGAAGTAGTATTCCAGAACCTCCGCTCTCGAACGACAGTCCGGTCTTTCCTGTTTTTTTTTTCAACTTCCGGTAGTATCTGGTAGGGTCAGAGAGCTGGGCAAGTCACTACCGTGCGACTGACGTACTTGTTTCCGGCCGATGGGGCCAGGCTGGGCTATGCTGTTGCCCGCAACGGGTGCCAGCAGGTCTGCCGCCATCATGTCAGACACGGACAGCGATGAAGATTCCTCTGGAGGAGGCCCATTTTCTCTAACCGGGTTCCTGTTCGGCAACATCAATGGAGCAGGGCAGCTGGAGGGCGAAAGCGTCTTGGATGATGTGAGGCGTGGGCTTGAGGCGAAGGGTGGTGGGGCTCGGGAGAACAGGTGAAGAGGGGAAGCTGTGTGGGAATCGGTGCTAAAGCCTGCTGTGAGGGCGCAGAGGATCCCTTCCCGTGGTTTGACGAGTAGTGGAGGGAGAGCGCGCGCGCTCAACTGTGAGAAACGATAGGGAGAAAAGAGGAAAACGGTTAAGTGCCAGTTACCGATGCACAGGTGTTTGGTTTGAAGGTAACATTCTGTTTGCCTAGTGGGAAAAATAAGTTAAACCTAGTGAAGTTATCAGACCCGTTACTGTATGAAAACCTTTTTGAAGATTCTTGGAACCCTGTTTTTCTGGCTGTCGTTGATCTGGAATGGCCCCGAAGCCAGAACTATGGATGGAACCTGTGTTGTTTGGATCCGGTCAATACGGAGTTTACATTTCCTGTACAGTTTTTGCAGTACGATGTTCCTTTGAGCAAATTGTGGAATCACTTGTCAAATGGATTTGTGACTTCGTTATGAGCGAGGGAAATAAACCTTGTGTAGAACCTTCAAGTTCAGTTGTAACTTTCGACTCTCGTGCTGTGCCTTTTTCAGGAGTGTAAGAAGCATCTTGCAGGCTTGGGGGCTTTGGGACTGGGCAGCCTGATCACTGAGCTCACGGCAAATGAAGAATTGGCTGGGACTGATGGTGCCTTGGTAAATGATGAAGGTGAAGTGTGGGCCATTGGGAATACATTGTGGGTCATGGGAGGAGGCTAGCTATTGTACATGTATTTTTAAGTGGGAATTCTCTAAGGAATTGAGAATTATGTGGGTTTTCTTGAGATATCTCCTTTTTATCCATAGGATGGATTAGGAGTAGAGAAGATGCTGTGGACTATTCAGACATCAATGAGGTGGCAGAAGATGAAAGCAGAAGATATCAGCAGACAATGGGGAGCTTGCAACCTCTTTGTCACTCAGGTGATTTCTCTCTCTCTCTCTCTCTCTCTCTCTCTCTCTCTCTCTCTCTCTCTCTCTCTCTCTCTCTCTCTCTCTCTCTCTCTGTTTTCCGAAACAGGGTTTCTTTGTGGCTTTGGAGGCTGTCCTGGAACTCGCTCTGTAGACCAGGCTGGCCTCGAACTCACAGAGATCCACCTGCCTCTGCCTCCTGAGTGCTGGGATTAAAGGCGTGCGCCACCACCGCCCGGCCTAAACAATTTTTGTAGCTTCTGTTTGTATGCGTTATTTGAGATTTGATGTCATAAAGAGTTGCTAGCCAACGTGATTGTTAAATAGTGTGGTAGAATGGAAAGAATAGATTTCTGGGTAAGAATACTAAAGGTTGAAATCCCAACTCCATATTTCATTTATTATCTGCCACTTGAATTTGTCATGTATAGTAATCCCCCAGTTTTCTTCTATAGTTAATAAAATGGTTAATGCTTTTTGTGAATTGAAGTTGGTGGTCACATGATGGGAAATCATCTACTAAACAAAAAAAAAGAGTTGGTGGCCAGGCGTTGGAGGCGCACGCCTTTAATCCCAGCACTCGGGAGGCAGAGGCAGGCAGATCTCTATGAGTTGGAGGCCAGCCTGGTCTACAAAGTGAGTTCCAGGACAGCTTCCAAAGCTACAGAGAAACCCTGTCTCGAAACCCCCCCACCCAAAAAAAAAGAGTTGGTAATCTGACTGGAAAGTTTTCTTTGGGCAGCCAAGATGTGGTAGAATTGTAGAAATAAGGTAAATCGGGGCAAAATATCTATATTTGTATTTAAATTAGTAGGGTGGGAGGAAGAGAAGGTAAATGGATTTCTAAATTTGAGGGTAGCCTTGTCTACATAGAAAGTTCCAGGACAGCCAGTGATATATATAGAGACCTGGTCTCAAAAAAAAAAAAAGGATTAATAAGGGTGATTATTATTTTGTGTGTGTACCACAGCACATGCGTAGAGGTCAGAGACAGCTTTGTAGATTTGGTTATTTCCTTCCATCTCTACATGGGCCCTAGGGATTGAACTCACGCAGGCCAAGCTTGTGCAGCAGACTCCTTTATCCAGAGAGCTGTCCTATTGACTCATGGCGACTTTTATGTGTAGTGGTGTTTTGCCTGTATGTTTGTCTGTGCATTGTCCACAGATGCCAATTAAATGTGCTGGAACTGAAGTTACAGGTGGTTGTGAGCCACCATGTGAGTTCTGGAAATCAAAATTCAAAATTCAGGTTATCTGAAAGAAGAGTAGCCAGTGCTGTTAATCGCTGAGTCATCTCTACAATTCTCATGTCTTTACTATATCTTTAAAAGATATTTGTATTAGCCGAGTGGTGGTAGTGCACGCCTTTAATCCCAGCACTTGGGAGGTAGAGGCAGGCGGATCTCTGTGAGTTCGAGGCTAGGCTGGACCGACAGCCTCCAAAATAATACAGAGAAACCCTGTCTCGTAAAACCAAAAAAAAAGATATTTGTATTTTTGTGGGTGTGTGCCTGGTTCCCTTGGTGTTCAGGCATCTGTACTGGCCTGGGGTTCTGACCGGATATACCTTTAGCTGCAGCCACTAAGAGCACCACCTGTGCACATTCACTATGGTCTCTTTTAAAAAGGTCCTGCCCACCTCCCATCTTTCTCTCTCCTTCTCCCTCTCTTTCACAACTCTTATCCCCAAGGACCAGTCTCTGCTCCCCACCCCTGCCCCTTTTTCTGCCCCTTCTCCTAATAAACCTCCTGTGTAAGTCTTGTATGATGTGACTTCTCTTCTAGGCATTTTTTCAATTACAGTTGGAGGTCAGAAGACTATTTCAGATCCCCCTGGAACTGGAGTCTTGGGACTTCTGCAAGAACAAATTTGATTTTTTTTCTGCTGGGGCATTGGTCCAGGCTCTACTTTTGTTTGTTTTTAAAATTAAATTTATTTATTTTGTATGTTGGAAGCATGTGTCCCAACAAACAAGCCAGAGGACAGCTTGAAGGAATCAGTTCTCCCCTCTCTTGGGGTCCTGGGGATCAAACTTGGGTTGTTAGGATTGGTGGTAGGTGCCTTTACCCACTGGGCCATCTTGCCAGCTCCTTGGAGGCTTTTTGTTACTGTTTTGATGCAGGATGTCATATAATGTAGACCAGCCTTCAACACCTAATCATTCAGCCTCTAATTTGGAAGTGCTGGGATTACAGACATGTTCCATCATATTGGCTGGTAAGGATGATTGTTGAGAAGGGAAATATAGCACTTGGGAGGCAGAGGCAAATGGATCTATGTGAGTTCGAGGCTAGCCTGGTCTATAGAGTGAGTTCCAGGACAGCCTCCAAAAGCTATACAGAGAAACCCTGTCTCAAAAAAAACAGCAACAACAAAAAAGGGGAAATATGTAGAACAAAAGAATATTTGGACCAGTGAGATAGTATGTGACTGTAATCCCAATACTTAGGTTGCATGAGACCTTCTGTCAAAACAAAATATGGTGGCTGGAGAGATGACTCAGTTGTTAAGAGCACTCGCTGCTCTTCTCAAGAACCCAGGTTCAATTCTCAGCACCCACATGGCAGCTCACAATCATCTATAATGGGAACCAATGCTTTCTTCTGGTATACAGATGTACATGCAGACAAAGTGCCCATATACATAAAGTACGTAACTAATCTTTAGCCAGGTGTGGTAGCATACCTTTAATCCCAGCATTTTAATCTCAGAAGGCAGAGGCAAGCAGATCTCTGAGTTCAAGGCAACACTGGTTTACAGAGTAAGTTCCAGGACTACCCAAGAAACCTTGACTGGAAAAACCAAAAAAAAAATTGTTATTAAGGGCCAACTATTTTTTAAAGTGTTTATTTATATAGTGTTCTGCCTATGCTTGCACACCAGAAGAGATCACAGATCTCATCGCAGATGGTTGTGAGCCACCATGTTGTTGCTGGGACCTCTAGAAGAGCAGTCAGTGTGCTCTTAACCTCTAAGCCAACTCTCCAGCCCCCAGGACCAACTATTGAGTACTGCCAATAGTTAAAAATCACTGAAAAGAGAAAAAGAAGATAGTATTTTAAAAAGCACTGAAAAGAATGATCCACTGCCAAAATATAGACAGGAAAAATGTTTCAAATGGAACTGTAAGGAAAATCCAGGTTTTTTGTCTTGTTTTTTAATTTTAGAGTATTCAATTAGGAAATTGAACAAAGTGGAAAACAAAACCCAGTATGATCAGGAAAAGGAGTAGTGGATCAAAAGGTTTCACATAGTTCCTGGGAGCTCTCATACCCTATGTGAGAGATGAACATTTGACTATACCATATCTTTCTGAAGGCAGAAGTTACATATTCTGTGTATTTTTTTAATGTTTTGGGTTCTTTTATGAGAGCTATCTACATCTGTCTCCCGAGCACACACACACACACACACACACACACACACACACACACACACACACACACAGAGAAGACTCTTCTGTGTGTTCTTAATGGGTGCATGGTACTTCTGCAGTGCTTTAAATTCTTGAGATTTGAAGGGTGCTCAAAGGTATTGTATAGAATTCTTCATATTGAGATTACCTTGATTTTTAGCAGATTATGATGAAGATGACTATGATGCTGATTGTGAAGATATTGATTGCAAGTTGATGCCTCCCCCACCTCCACCGCCTGGACCAGTGAAGAAAGAGAAAGATCAAGATGGTCTTACTGGTGGTAAGTAACGACTGTCTACTTTTAAGAATGAGTTTATATTCATTAAACCAGGCTTTTGGCATGCTTAAGGGACTTTTATAAAAACTCTTAGAAAAGGATGGTACTTCTAGAAAAAAATCATATGGTGTCAAATACTGATATTGAATAGAAATTTTCCTTTTAAAATGTTCAGTAGCACACAGTCAATAAATAATAATTTAACACAGTGCTTCTCAAATTAGGCTGCCCATCACATTTACCTAGAATCTTGTAAAAAGTAAAATACAGATACCTGGTTATATGGAGTGTTTGATTCAGAAGATTTGGAATAGAACACAGGAATTTTTGTTGAGTTTCCCAAGAATTTTTTTTGTCACAAGGTTTTACTATGAAGCCTCTCCCTAGAACTCTGTATAATAGCCAGGCTGCCTTCAAACCTGTAGCAGTCTTTCTGTTTCTGCTTTCTTAGTGCTGGGATTACATGTGTGGGCTACTGTAAATGGAGTCCTTAATTGGTCTAAATAATAAAAATCCAGAGTCAGATATAGAGGAAAATACTGAGAGATCAGAGAGAAGAAGGAGCAAGCCACAACCACACCTTACTTCCTTAGCATCTCAGCAGACAGGAGAAGCAAGTTCCTGTTTCTGCCCCTTTATATCCTCTCTCTGCTCAGCCATCTCACTTCCTGTCTGTCTGTACAGACCTCCAGACTTTCATGGTTAGCTAGTTAGCAAACTCCATTCTCTGACCTTCAGACAGGCTTTATTTGTACAAGCATGATAATCACCACAAGCAACCCCTTTTTTTGTTCCCTCAAGACTTAATTTACATTTTTGTTCCTGATACAGGATTTCTCTGCATAGCCCTGTCTGTCCTGGAACTCATTCTGTAGACCAGGCTGGCCTAGAACTCACAGAGGTCCACCTGCCTCTGCTTCCTGAGATTAAAGGCCTGTGCCACTACCACCTAGCTTCCCCCAAGACTTTCTGATGTAATTAATTTATATATACTCATATTTTGAAAATATATATTTTTTAAAAACTTTTAATCTGGGCATGGTAGCGTATGCCTATATTCCCAATACTCTGAAAGCAGGAGGATGACTACTAGTTTGAGGCTAGCTAAGGCTCTGTAATAGAACCCTGTTTTAAACAACCTCTGGAATGTAGCATTACTTACATTCAGAGATTTCAGAGATTGATAAGATCTTGAATTGTTGTCTCACTGCTTTTATCCCTGTCACAGTAATAATGCTACCATAGGTCAGACAACAAGGGAAGAATAGTACCTTTATTTTTGAAACAGTACCTCACTGTGCATCCCTGGCTGGTCTAGAACTCCTTGTAAACCAGGTTGGCCTTGAATTCACTGAGATTTGCTTGCCTCTGCTTCCTTAGTGCTGGGATCAATGGTACATGCCACCATGCCCAGCTTTGGTCTTCTACCTTTTTTGTTGTTTTGTTTTGTTTGTTTTTTGAGACAGGGTTTCACTGTGTGTCCCTGACTGTCCTGGAACTAGCTCTGTAGACCAGGCTGGCCTCGAACTCAGAGATCCACCTGCCTCTGCCTCTGCCTCTGCCTCTGCTAAGATTAAAAGTATGCTCTGCCACCTCCTGGCAGTCTTCCATATTTTCAGGCTTATGTTAACCTGAATTCCTCCAGTTGGTTTTGTGACTATTTCCTTCAGTTTGCAAGGTAAATGTTATTTAACTTTGTGTGTGGAATTTATTTTTTGTTATTCTATGGGCTTTACAATTCTACATCTTATAGATCCCTGAACTGAACTGAACAGGGCCTGATTAATGTGAAGTATTGTATATTATATTAAATTTTGTTACTGAGCACAACATTGGTCATTTATGGAAAGTAGTAAATGTAGTAATAGTGTTTGTTTTCTTTCATCACAACCCTAGGGTACCAGGTCCAAGGTGAGTTGGGGATGGTGGGAAATAATAAGCTGGATGAGTTTTTGGGCTGCATACTAGTAATCTGGGTGCTTGGGACTATATCCCCTGCCATAGAGCCATGCATATTAGCTTAGAAGGGGATGTTGGCTGAATTTGAGGAAATGTGTTCACAGTTACATGCCAAAGGGTTTTTTTTTCCTTGTTGCAGTGTCTGAAGATGGAGAAGGCATCATCTTGCCCTCCATCATTGCCCCTTCCTCTTTGGCCTCAGAGAAAGTGGACTTCAGTAGTTCCTCTGACTCAGAATCTGAGATGGGACCACAGGAAGCAGCACAGGCAGAATCTAAGGATGGAAAGCTGACTCTACCATTGGCTGGGATTATGCAGCATGATGCCACCAAGCTGTTGCCAAGTGTCACAGAACTTTTTCCAGAATTTAGGCCTGGAAAGGTACTTTGTGTGGAGAATGTCCATAATGACAACTGACTTCTTCCAGATTCCAAGTTCTGTTGTTATAATGCTGAATATACAGTGCATGAGATTTAATAATGTCCTTATTCAGTGACAGATAATTGTTTGTATAGGAACTTTTTATACTGTATTAGATAATATTTTGAAGTTGTATGTATTCATAGGAAATGTGGCTTAGAATGTTTGCATTAAAAATTGTTCAGTTGCCAGGCGTGGTGGTGTATTGCTGTGAGTTCAAGGCCAGCTTGGTCTACATAGTGAATTCCAGAACAGCCAAGGCTATGTAGAGAGACCCTGTCTCAAAAAAACAAAATTGTCCTGTTAGTGGCTGGTGAGATGGCCCATTGGGTAAAGGAACTTGCATGCATGACTGAGGGTCTGAGTTTGCTCCCTGGACCCCACAAATTGGTTGGAGAGAACCAACTCCTGAGATTTGTCCTTTGACATCCACACATGTATTATGGCATGTACATCTGCGTGCGTGCATGCACCCCCCCACAAATACATGAATAAATAAAATAAAATACTTTTAAGTTTCCCATTAGAATAAAAAGTAAACCAAGTATCTTATTGTTCTATTGCTATGAAGAGACACATGATCAACACAACTTAAAAGAAAGCATTGAATTGGGGGCTTGCTTACAGTTTCAGAGGGTTAATCCATGCACATCATGACAGGGAAGCACAGTGGCAGGCATGCCACCTAGCTGAGAGCTTAAATCCAGATCTTCAGTCAGAGAAAGAATGAGACCAGGCCTGGCCTGGGCTTTTGAAACCTCAACGCCCACCCCCAGTGACACACCTCTATAAGGCCACACCCCTTAATCCTTCAGATAAGTCCACTAACTGGGAACACAACATCCAAATATATGACTATAGGGGCCAGTGTCTTTCAAACCGTCAGATCAGACCTAGTAGTATAAATGTATGACCCCAGTTACTAGGGGAGCTAAGGAAGGAGGACCATAAGTTCAAGGCTTCCTGGGCTTCAGATTGAGTTGAAGAACAACTGGGCATCTTAGTGAGACCCTGTCTTAAAAGCTAAAGATTAGCCAGGCATGGTGGTGTATGCCTTTAAACCCAGGCAGTGGCAAGTGGATCTCTTGAGTTTGAGGACAGGCTGTTCTAAATAGAGTTCCAGGCCAAGGCTACATAGTAAAAACACTGTCTCAGAAAACAAGAGTAAAACAAAGCTAAGCACTAGGAATGTAACTCATTGATAGAGTACAACTCCCTAGGTTCAAAGTGTAGTACCACATGAAAAAGAAAAGGGAAAAAAAGCAATTGTCTTACTGAGGGACAATACTTTCATGGTCTGAACCTAGCACTCCTTCATTTTCTCCCCTGCAATTAAATAGATCACTTGAGAGTTTTTCAGACACCAAATCTCTGATATAATAGTATGTTCTATGTTCTAGGTGTTACGCTTTTTACGTCTTTTTGGACCAGGGAAGAATGTCCCATCTGTTTGGAGGAGTGCTCGGAGAAAGAGGAAAAAGAAGCACCGTGAGCCTATTCAGGAAGAGCAGATCCAGGAGGAAGAGTGCTCAGTAGAATTGGAAGTCAACCAGAAATCTCTGTGGAACTATGACTATGCTCCACCTCCACCTCCAGAGCAATGTCTCTCTGATGATGAAGTAGGCAAAGTAGACATGGGGGCATGTAGAAAGCTCTCTACCTTGTGTCAAAGTTGGAACTAACACTTTAGCATTAAGAGTTCTTTGCTGCCGGGCGTTGGTGGCGCACGCCTTTAATCCCAGCACTCGGGAGGCAGAGGCAGGCAGATCTCTGTGAGTTCGAGACCAGCCTGGACTACCAAGCGAGTTCCAGGACAGCCTCCAAAGTCACAGAGAAACCCTGTCTCGAAAAAATCCCCCCCCAAAAGAGTTCTTTGCTAGCTGGGCTTGGTAGCATATGCCTTTAATCCCAGCACTTTTAAGGCAGAGGCAAGTGGATCTCTGTGAGGTCAGAGCCAGCCTGGTAAATAAAGTAAGTTCCAGGACAGCCAGGAATACATAAAGAAACTTTATCTCGAAAAACCAAAAAAAAAAGAGTTCTTTGTTAATTATCAATTAAATGCAGTGGTCTCGGTCTCACCTTTCCTGTTGTAACAGAGGAATATTTGGTGGGGCAGGGCAGGGTAGATGGTGATACATTGCTATATAAAGCTATGACTCATGGACAGATCATGCCATGATATACCTCTATCTTTTTCATATTCTAACTCCAGGTAAAAATTCCTGTTCCAGAATCATCCTTGTGGTTCCTCTAAGTTACCTTATGATTGTTAATTTTCTTTAGCTTTTGGTTATCTGGAATAGGGAAGCCCCACCTCTACATCTTTGACTCTGTTACAGATCACAATGATGGCTCCTGTGGAGTCTAAGTTTTCCCAGTCAACTGGAGATACAGATAAAGTAATGGATACTAAACCAAGAGTGGCAGAATGGCGTTATGGACCTGCTCGGCTGTGGTATGATATGCTAGGTGTCCCTGAAGATGGCAGTGGGTTTGACTACGGCTTCAAAATGAGGAAGACTGAACATGAACCTGCAATAAAATGCAAAATGATGACGGTAAGCAACAGTGTGCTTGGAGTTCTATAATTTTTACTACCTTCTCAGCTGAGAAGTTCTTGGGTAGAATCTTTATTAGAAGATTTGCATAGTAGTAATATCATCATGTAAATAAGCCTTATTCTAATGATTCTTCTGTTTTTGAAATGGGTGCTGTTCCAAAGTAAGAGTTGGAGAAAAGGCAGATTTTTTTTTCTTATCAGGTACTTTGCATAAGTAGAACATTTTTTTCTGTGCTGGAGATTGATCCCAGGGTCTTGCACATGCAGGGCAAGTACTCTTACTACTGAGCTAGCTACATTCTCAACCCTTGGTTTTGTTTGTTTGTTTCTTTGTTTGGTTTTGGTTTTTCTTTTTTTTTTTCGAGACAGGGTTTCTGTGTAGCTTTGGAGACCGTCTTGGAACTAGCTCTGTAGACCAGGCTGGCTTCGAACTCAAAGAGATCCACCTGCCTCTGCCTCCTGAGTGCTGGGACTGAAGACGTGTGCCACCAACACCCGGCTCAACCCTTGGCTTTTTGAGACATGGTCCCACTATGTATCCCAGACTCTGACCCCAAAACTGGAATTCTCCTTTCTGTCTCCCAAAGTGCTAGGATTGCAAATGTTTGACAGTAAATCTGACAAAGCACCACCTGTGATATCTAATGAATCATTTAAGATCTGGATTGGGAACTTTGACCAGTAACTAATTTATTATTATTTCCATTTATACAGAAATTAAGGAAACTTGAAGAAAGTAATGGCATTGATCTTCTGGCAGATGAAAACTTCCTAATGGTGACACAACTGCATTGGGAAGATGATATCATCTGGGATGGGGAGGATGTCAAGCACAAAGGAACAAAACCTCAGCGTGCAAGTTTGGCGGGCTGGCTTCCTTCCAGTATGACTAGGAATGCCATGGCCTACAATGTTCAGCAAGGTGTGCTTCTATGCCAGCAGTGTCTAGCACACAGTTCTTCATCTCAGCCATTTTAAGTTACTCTAGTTTTTTAGGCTGTTGAGGGATAGTGAAATGCTTTAAATCTAATCCCTAGTTTTTTAAAAATTTTTTTGTTTATAAATGCACTTTATCATTTAATTTTTTCTCAACCCATGAAAATGGTTCAAAAAGAAAAATTCTGATATTCTAGAGATTGTCAGTTATTAACTTTTTGATGTGTTTTGTTTTCTGCATGTATATGGTTGAACTTAATTAATGTTGAGACAAGCTCTTAATCTGTACCTAGTCTAATCCTTAAACTCACCATCTTCCTAATTCAGACTTCCCAAGTACTACTATTACAAGTGTTTGTTTGCCATGCCTGATTTGAGTTCAGTGTCATACATATTGTTTTTTGTTATTTTTTTAAGATAGTGTTGCTATGTAGATCAAGCTGTCTTTGTAGATCAAGCTGTCCTTGAACTCACAGAGATCCACCTGATTCTGTCTTCTAAGTACGGTGGTGGTGGTGGTGATCTTTTTGGAGACAAGGTCTTGCCTGTCTTGGATCCCAGGCTAGCCTCAGATTTGCTGCACTATTCCTACCTCAATCTCACATGTGTAAGCCACTACACCCATGGTATACTGTGATTTTTTTGTGTTTTGAGACAGTTCTCACTGGCCTGAAACTTTATATCAGAGCTATCAGTCAGACTTGATAGCACCTTTAAACAAGTCCTTGGCAACCTCAAATTATTCTTGGTGATCTTGATAACCCTTTAACCAACACTGAGGACAGAGGGGGATATTAAAAAGCCACTTTGGTTTATTGGATTTTTGTGGCAGGATTTTATGCTATAGCCTTGACTGACGCTAGGCTTGCCTTGAACTTGAAGTAATCCTTCTGCCTTAGCCTCTTGAGTACTGTGATTAGAGGTAAATGCCAGAAAACTTTTTTTAAAAAAGATTTGTTTATTTAACATACAATATTCTGCCTGCATGTATGTCTGCAGGCCCAAAGAGGGCACCAGGTCTCATTATAGATGGTTGTGAGCCACCATGTGGTTGCTGGGAATTGAACTCAGGACCTTTGGAAGAGCAGTTAGTGCTCTTAACCTCTGAGCCCGGCTAGAAAACTTTTTAAATGGAAAGAAAACAAGATATGAAACAGATTATTTAATATTCCATTTGTAAAAATGAAAAACATAGAACTGTGTAAACAAATATCTGACTAAAAGAAAATATACTAAAGCATTTGCATTGGTTATTTCTAGTTTCTTTTTCTTTTTCTTTTAAGGTTTTTCAGACAAGGTTTCTCTGTAGCCCTGGCTATCCTGGAATTAGCTCTGTAGACCAGGGTGACCTCGAATTCACAGAGATCTGCCTGCCTCTGCCTCCCAAGTGCTTGGATTAAAGGCATGCACCACAACTGCCCTGCTCTTTATTTTCTTTATACCATTCTGTATTATCCAGATTTTTTTCTCAATTACCCTGGATTCATTTTACAATTCAAGCCCTACCCCACCATTGATTTTTTTGAGACAGTCTTACTATATAAAGCTCAGGCTGTCCTGGAACTCAGTATTCTCAGCCCCTACCTCTTGAGTACTGGGTATATACATAAATACCACCATACTCAACTCAAAAATGTCTTAAATTTTTTTGGCTTTTTCGAGACAGGGTTTCTCTGTATAGCCTTGCTATCTTGGAACAAGCTCTGTAGACCAGGCTGGACTTGAACTCAGAGATCTACCTACCTCTGCCCTGTAAATGCTGGGGTTAAAGGCATGCTCTACCACCATCTGGCTAACAATACCTTAATTTTTTTCTCAATATATGTTTTTATTATAAACGTGAATGTTTCACATGCCAATCCCAGTTCCCTCTCCCTTGTCCCTCCACCAGCCCTCTCAGCCTCCCACCCAATCCCCCATATCATTCCCCAGGGATGGTGAGGCCCTTCTTGGGGGGATCTCCAGAGTCTGTCATTTCATCCAGGGCAGGACCTAGGCCCTTCCCCATGTGTCCAGGCTGAGAGAGCATCCCTCTATTTGGAATGGGCTTCCAAAGCTCATTCATAAACCATGGTGAACACTAATCTACTACCCAAGGCCCCAGTGACTTCTGTGCAATGCCTTAATTTTTAAAATCATGTGAAAAGGTTTTCTCTTCAGTTCTAGTTAAATACTTTATTAGTTGCATAGTTTTTCTTTTACATTTTTGGTTTTGGCGGATAAAGTTTTTACTGTGCAGTCCTAGCTGGCCTCCACTTGTCTCTTTCTCTCAAGTGATGGAATTAAAAGAGTACCACCATACCCAACTCAGTTACATAGTATTTTTGATACACGATCTTGGTGTGTAGCCAGTCAATGATCTTTCTCTCAGTTTCCCAAGTGTATAGTATTCTTTTCTTTTTTTGGTTTTTCAAGATAGGGTTTCTCTCTGTAGCTTTGGAGCTTGTCCTGGAACTCACTCTGTAGACCAGACCTCCCTTGAACTCAAAGAGATCTGCCTGTCCCTTTCTCCTGAGTGCTGGAACTAAAGGCGTGCTCCACCAACGCCTGGCTAGTATTCTTATTTTATGCATAATGTTCTTAGAAGTTTGTTTTTCTTATCAATAATCGCTTTATTTGCTAATATAATTAAATATTAATATCACATGTGTATGTGTGTGTGTGTGTGTGTGTATCTATAGTTTATTGAGACGGTGTTTCACTGTGTAGCTGTGGCTGTCCTGGAATTCACTCTAGACCAGACTAACCCTGAACTCACAGAAATCTGCCTGCCTCTACCTCCAAAGTGCTGGAATTAAAGACATGTGCCACCATCTCCTGGCTCACCATAGCTTTTTATTTGTTTATTTTTATTTTATGTGGATTGGTGTTTTGCCAGCAGTTGTTTGTGTGGGGATGTCAGATCCCCTGGAACTGGAGTTAATGTGGTAAGCTACCATGTGTGAGCTGGGAATTGAACCTGGGTCCTCTGGAAGAGCAGCCAGTGCTCTTAACCACTAAGCCACTCTCTAACCCTTCAACATAGTTATTTAGTTAGACCCTTAGTAAGTTTTAACTATTATAAACAATAGTGCAGTGAATTTTTTGTCAGCAATGGTTTCGGTCAAAGTGAGACATACATGATATCTAGTAGGTTCCTTTTGAATACCTGTGTGAGTACTTAATATTCATTCTTTTTCTGTTTGCTAGAATCATGACTAAAAGGAGCATTTAATATTTTGTTACTGTTTTCTCTTGTTTTGGCCAGGTTTTGCAGCCACACTAGATGATGATAAACCCTGGTATTCCATTTTTCCCATTGATAATGAAGATCTGGTATATGGACGATGGGAGGACAATATCATTTGGGATGCTCAGGCCATGCCCCGGATTTTGGAGCCTCCGGTTTTGACGCTTGATCCCAATGATGAGAACTTGATTTTGGGTATGTTGCTGGGAGAAGCCAGTGTTATTTATCTTTGACATCTTAGTATTAATGTAAAAGGGCAAAAGAAAATCAAGAAAGTTAGAGAGTGCAAAAACAAAAACTTTTATTAATTAAATTTATTCATATATTTTACATCCCAACTGCAGTTTCGCCTCCTTCCTCCCATTCCCTCCCCCCAACCTAAAAACTTCTAGGTAATGATTTTTGAAAAGAGTTGTAGCTGTCAGTTTCTACTGTTTGAGTGTTTAAGAAAAACTCGTGTAGGAATGTTGAAAATGGTATCTTTAAGATCAGACATGTAAGCTGGGCATGGTGGCACACACAGTTAATCCCAGCACTTGGAAAGCAGAGGCAGGCAGATCTCTGTGAATTCAAGGTCAGCATGGTCTACAAAGAGAGTTCTATAACAGCTAGGGCTGGTACATATAGAAACCCTGTATTGGAAAAAAAGACCAGGCATGTATTTGAGTGAATTACCAACTAAAGTGAGAGAGCTACTTAGAGTGAGAGAGCTACTTAGAAACCCAAAATATCACTGGGAAATGTGAATTTTAGTTAGACCTCATGGCATGTGTCCCAACTACTTGGGATGTCAAGGCAGGAAGACTATTCAAGGAATGTCTAGGCAACAGAATATGTTCCCAGGGTAGCTTTGTCAATTTAGTGAGACTCTATCTTAAAAATAATGCAAAAAGAGGCTGGCTGTGGTGACACACATTTAATCCCAGCACTTAGGAGGCAAAGACAGGTGAATTTCTGTGAGTTTGAGGCCAGCCTGGTCCTCAAAGTGAGTTCCGGGACAGCCTGCAAAGCTACACAGAGAAGCCCAGTCTCGAAAAACTAAAAAAAAAATGCAAAAGGAGGTCAAAGGGCTGCCAATGTAGTTCAGTGGCAGAGTCCTTGCATAGCTTGTGTAAGACCTTAGTTTCAATCCTTAGTACTGCATAGAGGGGTGAGGAAGAAGGTGGGAGGAAGGTGAGGAGAAAGAGGAGGAAAGAAAGAAAATGAGCATTTAGGAATAGCAATTTCAAAGTTTTCTGGTTGCATCCTCAGAAATCCCTGATGAAAAGGAAGAAGCTACTTCTAATTCCCCTTCCAAGGAGAATAAGAAAGAATCATCTCTGAAGAAGAGTCGAATTCTCTTAGGAAAAACAGGAGTCATCAAGGAAGAACCACAACAGGTTTGTGAAAAGAACATAGTATTTAGAAGAACAATGAAGGGTATTAGGAAGAAAGGGTTGTCTAACCAAAGCTTATTTGATCTATCATTAGAACATGTCTCAGCCAGAAGTGAAAGATCCATGGAATCTCTCCAATGATGAATATTACTATCCCAAGCAACAGGGTCTTCGAGGTACTTTCGGAGGGAATATTATCCAGGTACAAATAGCTACTTTGTTTTGATGGAGGATATGGGTAATTCCTGCCTAGGAAGGTGTTAGTGTTTACTTCTAACTCTAATGTTTCCTGTTTAGCATTCAATTCCAGCAGTAGAATTACGACAACCCTTCTTTCCCACCCACATGGGACCTATCAAACTCCGGCAGTTCCATCGACCACCTCTAAAAAAGTACTCCTTTGGGGCACTATCTCAGCCAGGTCCACACTCAGTCCAGCCTCTGCTGAAACACATCAAAAAAAAGGCAAAGGTATAATTGAATCCTGCTTACAAAAATGTTCTGTAAGATAATTGAAGTACAAATTAGGAGAGTATACTGGATATTCGATTATGTTAGAGAATTGTTTATTTTCTCAGATATGATAAAATTTTATTTTGGTTATTCAGAAAGATATTCTTAGAAGGTATATATAAATATACTAAGGTTAAATATAGCAGCTTTCAAAACTGGTTTACTAAAATCTGTAGAAAATTTACAGATAGTGAAAATGTTTAAGTAGTGAGATAAAGAATGTTCAGTGTACTCTTCCAATTTTAGTGGTATGTTTGAAAGTTTTCACAATGAAATTGGAAAAATAACATCGTAAAGAATGTTTTGGTATTATCTCAGATTGGATATCAATATGTGTAGTTCATCTTCCTGTTGGAAATATACTGTATTGTCTTTATTCTGGACAGATGAGAGAACAGGAGAGGCAAGCCTCAGGTGGTGGAGAGATGTTTTTTATGCGCACACCTCAGGACCTCACAGGCAAAGATGGAGACCTTATTCTTGCAGAATACAGTGAGGAAAATGGACCATTAATGATGCAAGTTGGCATGGCAACCAAGATAAAAAACTACTATAAGCGGGTGAGTCTGGGCTTAAAGAAATGTGTATATGTGGTATGTGTGTGTGTTTAAAAATACTCATTTAATTTTATGTGTATGAGTGTTTCATTGCATGTATGTGCACCACATGTGTGCTTGGTGTCTGATGGAACTAGAAGTGTGTCGGATCCTCTGGAACTGAAAGTTTGGATGGTTGTAAGGCACCATATGAGTGCTGAGAACCAAACCTGGGTCCTCTGTAAGAGCAACAAGGGCTCTTAACCATGAAGCCATCTATCCAGTCCCTGAAATATTTGTCATCAATGTAACTTTAATTAGGTATGGTGTGATAATAACATATATTTTGTCGTATATATTTCTTGGGAGAAAGGAGTGATGTCTCTTGTTAATAGTAAATACTGTGTTTATGGAAGATTACATGTGCATTTATTGTTTTGTGAGTCTGAGTTTTCTGTGTTTATCCTAGAAACCTGGAAAAGATCCTGGAGCCCCAGATTGCAAATATGGAGAAACTGTTTATTGCCATACATCTCCTTTCCTGGGCTCTCTCCATCCTGGCCAGTTACTACAGGTAAAGAATTCTTTCCTGTCTTTATTCTCTCCTAAGGAAATTGACAGATGAGGAGCAAGTTTGCCCAGAAACAATTTTGGTTGATTGAGGTACTGTTCATGTATAGATAGTATAATCATATATAGGTAGTATAATCCGGTAGGTGTGGTGGTGTATACCATTAATCTCAGAACTCTGGGAGGCAGCATTTGAGACCAACCTGGTCTAATTATTGAGTTCTAGGTCAGCCAGGGCTATGTAGTAAGACCCAGTCTCAAAAAAGGAGGGCTTTGGAGAGATGGCTCAGCATCTAAGAACACTGACTGCTTTTCTAGAGGACTGAGTTTGATTCCCCAGCACTTAAATGGCAGCTCTAAAACATCTGTAACTCTACTTCCAGAGGATCTAAAGTGTCTTCTAGCCTCCTTGGGCACTCTATTCATGTGTTGCACAAACATAGATGAAGGCAAAACACTCGTACACATTTTTTAAAAATGAAAAGATTAGTATAATCTACTGGACATGGAGGGCAGAGGGATCAGGAATTCAAGGTCATCTTTGACTATGTTGCAAATTTGAGGCCAGTCTGGTAAACCAACAAAACAAAAAGATTAGTATAATTTTAAAATTTAATACAAACTTTTTTCTTAAAAAATAATTCTGCTAATTTTTATGTCGTTTTAGACTGAATATGGAATAGTGAGGTATTTTTTATTGTTTGATTTATGGGTGTGTGTGTGTGTGTGTGTGTGTGTGTGTGTTTTCTCTTTATTTAGACAGATACTTACTCTGTAGTCTAGAAGTGGTCTGGGGCTTGGTATATAGACAAGTTTGAACTTGTAGCAACCTTTCTTGTTTTGTCTCCCAAGTGCTATGATTACAGATGTGTGACCTGTAGCAATGTTTTTGTTGTTTAATTTTTTTGTTTTTGTTTGTTTGTTTTTTTGTTTTTTGAGGCAAGGTTTCTCTGTGGCTTTGGAGGCTGTCCTGGAACTAGCTCTTGTAGACCAGGCTGGTCTCGAACTCACAGAGATCCGCCTGCCTCTGCCTCCCGAGTGCTGGGACTAAAGGTGTGTGCCACCACCACACGGCTTGGTGTTTTTTTGTTTATTTGTTTGTTTGTTCTTTTGTTTGTTTGTTTTCTGAGACAGGGTTTTTCTGTAGCTTTGAAGCCTGTCCTGGAACTTGCTCTGTAGAGGCAGGCTTCAAGCTCAAAGAGATCTACATGCCTCTGCCTCCCAAGCGCTGGGATTAAAGGAGTGTGCCACCTGTGCCCAACTTCCATAACAATCTTAAAAATTCCTTTATTCTTTTTGTTTTAGTTTTTCAAGACAGGGTTTCTTCTGTGGCTTTGGAGGCTGTCCTAGAACTAGCTCTTGTAGACCAGGGTGGTTTCGAACTCACAGAGATCTGCCTTCCTCTGCCTCCCAAGTACTGGGACTAAAGGCGTGGGCCACCACCTACCTCCTGGCACATTCCTTTACTCTTGTGTCTTATTTATTTATTCCATTGTTACTATTGCTAGCTTTTCTGCACCTGGAAAGTTTTTTTTAATCATTTCCTTCTAGGTTTGTGGGAGCAGGTAGTGCTGGACGATTAAACCCAGGGCCTTGTGTATGCAAAGTACTTGATCTAATACTTAGTCACACACTTAGTTAGCCCTTCTCACCAGATTCTGATTATTGTTGGTTTTCATGTTCTTGTAATTTTTTTTCAAGGTTTCTTGTTGGTGTTTTTTTACCCAATCCATCTTCTTCTTTTGTGACTACTTTTATAGTTTCTTGTTTTTTATACTGTGTGTTAGGGAGGTTGAAGGACAATTGCAGGAGTCAATTCTTGTTCTACCATGTGGGTTTTGGGGATTGAACTCGGGTTTAAGTTTGGTAGCTAACATTCTGACCTGCCAAGACATCTCAGTGACTCTGGCTTTTTTTCCCTTTGAGGTGGGAGTCTTATGTAGCACAAGCTGGCCTTCAACTCCTGTCCTACCATTTCCCAAGTACTGTAACTATAGGTGTGTATTCCAACCATGCACAGTTTTTTGTAGTGCATGTTTTGTGCGTGTGTGTGTGTGTGTGTGTGTGTGTGTGTGTGTGTGTGTGTGTGTGTGTGTGTGTGATCACAGGAGTGTGGGTGCATGTGCATGCAGAGGTCAGAGCAGGATATTTCACTTTTGTGGCTCTTAATTCAAAATATCACACGAATGGTCCTGATAGTCTTTGAGGGACTCTCAAACTTCTGTCTAAAAGTTCATAAGCTGTTTCCATCATCTGTACTGTTTGTTCTCAGCATTATCCTAGAAGTTTCCATAGAACAGATGATTAAGCTCTGAGCACTCGATGGCTTTTTCAGTCTAACATTCCAAACTCCTTTTTAGCTGGCTGTTGGTGGCCCACGCCTTTAATCCCAGCACTCAGGAGGCAGAGGTAGGTGGATCTCTGTGAGTTCGAGACCAGCCTGGTCTACAGAGTGAGTTCCAGGACAACCTCCAAAACAATACAGAGAAACCCTGTCTCAAAAAACAAAAAACAAACAAACTCCTTTTTAAATTTTCCAAAAAACACATAGTCAGGTATGTCACAACAATATCCGTGATCCTGGTACCAATTTCTATCTGAGGATTTCTATTGCTGTGATAAAGCACCATGACACACTAGGTTGTACATGGGGGAAAGAAAGAATTGACTCATGCAGATTGCCTACTTATCTTCCATATGTACTTTGTAACACACATGTGCCCACATATGTACATACACACATACTAAGTAAATGAAAAATGTAATTAAAAAATTTAAAGATTATTTGCTATCTTCTACAATTCTATGTATAGTGAACATTAAGAATTTAATTTCTCAGCTGGGTGGTGGTGGCATGTATCTTTAGTCCTAGCACATAGAAGACAGAGGTAGGCAGTTCTGAACTCAAGACCAGCTTGATCTATAGAGTGGTTTCCAAGACAACCAAGCTATACAAAGAAACCCTGTCTCTAATCCCCGCCCCCCCAAAAGAATGTGATGAAAACACTCCCTTTCATTAGTAAGATTTGTTTGTTTTTTTGTTTTTCAAGACAGGATTTCACTGCATAGCCTTAGCTGTCCTGGAACTCACTTTGTAGACCAGAATGGCCTGGTACTTAGAGATCCTCCTGCCTTTGCCTCCTGAGTGCTGGGATTAAAAGCATGTGTCACTACTACCTAGCATCAGAATTTTTTTTAAACAATGATTTATTTATTTTTATTTTTTCTGTACATTGTTACTGTGTCTGTGTGAAGGTATCAAATCCCCTGGAACTGGAATTACAGACAGTTTTGAGTTATCATGTACTTTTAACCACTGAACTATCTCCAACCCCCATTATTAGGATTTTGTTTTGTCTCAAGACAGGGTTTCTCTGTATTGTCTTGGAGGCTGTCCTGGAACTCACTCTGTAGACCAGGCTGGTCTGGAACTCACAGTGATCCATCCGCCTACTACCTCTGCCTCACGAGTGCTGGGATTAAAGATGTGCGCCACCAATGCCCGGCCATTATTAGGATTTTTAAACAATTTATTTTTATTTTTTGTGTGTGCACACATGTGAGTTCACGTGTGGAGGCAGAAGAGGGCATGTCTGATTACTTGTAGCTAAAGTTATAGGTGTTTCTTCTTAGCTGACAGATATGGGTGCTAAAATTAGAACTCCAGGTCTCATGACAGAGCAGCAAGTGCCTTTAAGTGCTTAACCATCTCTCCAGCTCACTTAGGATTTTTGGTGGTGGGGGATACTTTTCTTTAGATTCATAACTTATCCCAGCACTTGGGAGGCAGAGGCAGGCGGATCTCTGAGTTCGAGGCCAGCCTGGTCTGCAAGAGCTAGTTCCAGGACAGCCTCGAAAGCCACAGAGAAACCCTGTCTCAAAAAACCAAAAACAAAAAAAAAAAACACCTTTTCCTCTGATATGGTTATTTAATTAATTAATTAATCTTTGTGTTTATGTGGGGATCATATGTATGTGTGGAAGTCAGAGCCAGAGGTCAATATTGGTTGTCTTTCTCTATTACTCACTACCTTATTTTTTGAGATAGCATCTCTCATAGATCCTGAGTTTACAGTTTTGCCTTAGACTGGTTGGCTATTAGGCTTCTAGTATCTTATCTCCATTGTCCCTCTCCCTGTCACCGCTGAGATTACAGCATATGCCTCTGTGCTCAGGTTTTTATGTGAGTGCTGGGGATCCAAACTCAGATTCTTTTTTTTTTTTTTTTTTTTTGGTTTTTCAAGACAGGGTTTCTCTGTATTGTTTTGGAGGCTGTCCTGGAACTCTATCTGTAGACCAGGCTGGCCTCGAACTCACAGAGATCCGCCTGCCTCTGCCTCCCAAGTGTTATACAATAAGCACTTTACCTGCTGAACCATCTCCCAGCCCCATTTTTTTTTGTTTTTTGGGGGGAGGGAGTCCTCACATAGCCAGACTGACCTCAAATTTACTATGTAGTCAAGGCTGGCTTTTAATTCCTAATTGTCCTGCTTTTCCTAACAAAGGCTGGGACTAAAGGAATATGCCACTATGACTTGTTCTGACTCAATTTTTTTTGAGAGTCAATCTTATGTCGTAGCTCAGGCTGGTGTTGAACTTGCCTTGATCATTCTGCTTCAGCCTCCTGAATGCTGATATTGCAAGCATTCACTGACATAACTGGTTTTGTTTTTTAAGTTTTTCTTTCTTTTTGGCTGTTAAGTTCTAAAAGGTAGTGAGTAAAAAAATAATCTTAGCCAGGCAGTGGTGGCACATGCCTTTAATCACAGCACTCAGGAGGCAGAAGCAGGCAGATCTTTGAGTTGGAGTCCAGCCTGATCTACAGAATGAGTTCTAAGACAACTAAGGCTACACAGAGAAACCCTGTCTCGAAAAACAAAATAATAGTAATAATCTTGTTTGATATTCCATAGCATTTGCTTATTTTATTGTATAGACTTTATATCTAATGAATATAGATGGTAGTAAGTTTTATTTTCCCTTTTCAAAATTGTTGGCTGAATTTTCTAAGGGTTTCTTTGTAAATAACTTCTGTGATTTACTTTCTTTTCTTTTTGTGTGTGACTTACTTTCATTAGGCATTTGAGAACAATCTTTTTCGCGCTCCAATTTATCTTCATAAGATGCCAGAGACTGACTTCTTGATCATTCGAACAAGGCAGGGTTACTATATTCGAGAATTAGTGGACATTTTTGTGGTGGGCCAGCAGTGTCCCTTGTTTGAAGTTCCTGGTCCTAACTCCAAAAGGGCCAATACACACATCCGAGACTTTCTACAGGTAAGGTGGGAGTTGGACTAAAATGCACATGCTAATAAAAAATGAAAACATATCTGAGCTTAATTGGGGAAGAGAACTCTGGTAAGGACTTTTATTCTTTATCTAATAAAATATATTTGACTTATTGGACAGGTTTTCATTTATCGCCTCTTTTGGAAGAGTAAAGATAGGCCTCGGCGGATCCGGATGGAAGATATAAAAAAAGCCTTTCCTTCACATTCAGAAAGCAGCATCCGGAAGAGGCTAAAGCTATGTGCTGACTTCAAACGTACAGGTCATCACTGTGACTACTTGTCTTGTCTGTGATACTCTTATGATCCAAAAGAATTCTGACTTTCAATTAAAAGTAATCATAGCTAATAGAATAGAAATTGATGGCTGTCCAATGGGAAAGGGACCAGATCTTATATATAACTAGAGGCTTTGATTGCTTTTTTGATAATTTGGTGATAATTGGTTACTAGGAGATTTCCATGTGAATATTTGCATGTCTTACATAAAATGTAAGAAACCTGGAAGCGGCTGGGCTGTGGTGGCGCACGCCTTTAATCCCAGCACTCGGGAGGCAGAGGCAGGCGGACCTCTGTGAGTTCCAGGCCAGCCTGGTCTACAGAGCTAGTTCCAGGACAGCCTCCAAAACAATACAGAGAAACCCTGTCTCGAAAAACCAAAAAACAAAGCAAAACAAAACAAAAAAGAACCCTGGAAGCAGGGGTTTTGTTGACTAGTCATATCTAGGCATTGCTTGATTTGGTGTCAGTTTGCTATACTATTACTTTGGGGTCTTTAGAATTCAGAACACTTTCTCTGTATCTTTTCCAGGGATGGATTCAAACTGGTGGGTGCTGAAGTCTGATTTTCGTTTACCAACGGAAGAGGAGATCAGAGCTATGGTCTCACCAGAACAGTGCTGTGCTTACTATAGCATGATAGCTGCAGAGCAGAGACTAAAGGTGAACCTTTTCTTGTTAGGCACTACTTATGTCTGTATTTCTTTTCGAAGAGATAGAAGAGAATACTCTAGAGATGATAGTTACAAGATTGTTACCAGAGCTGGGAGGTGCTGGCACACGCCTTTAGTCCCAATACTGGGGAGGCAGAGGCAGGCAGATCTCTGTGAGTTCGAGACCAGCCTGCTCTACAAGAGCTAGTTCCAGGGCTGCCTCCAAAGCCACAAAGAAACCCTGTCTCAACCCCCCCCCAAAAAACAACAAAAAACAAGATTCTTACCAGTTATTCAACAATTTAAACTGAGGTACTTTCTGTGTGTATGTATTCTAGGGAAAGCTATAGTGTAGCTAAATGTCATTGCGAGGCAAAACTTAAAATAACTTAAAATAAAAATAAATTACTATTGAAAATGATTCTAGAAAAAAAAAGCTTTGTGTGAAGACAGGGCCTTGCACATGGTAGGCAAGCATTCTGCCATTTGAACTACATCCTAGTACTTGGCATATCTTCTAGTAGTTCAAGAATGCACAACAGGCTGGAGAGATGGCTCAGTGGTTAAGAGCACTGGCTGCTCTTCCAGAGGTCCTGAATTCAATTCCCAGCACCCACCTGGCAGCTCATAACTATCTGTAATCCAGCTACAAGTGATTTGATACCCTCATATAGGCATAAAATGCAGGTAAAACCCCAATGCTCATAATTTTTTAATTTAAAAATGCACACTAGTAATACATGCATTGTAAACTACAGATATACTGATGTGGTTCCAATACTCATATGGTTTGGTATTTTGTATTTGATATTCGGTAAAACTGCTTTCTGGGAAAAAAAACTGTCTTTATCAGTTGACTTTATTTGTACATAGAATTGTCTGTCCTCTTTCAGGATGCTGGCTATGGAGAGAAGTCCTTTTTTGCTCCCGAGGAAGAAAATGAGGAAGATTTCCAGATGAAGATTGATGATGAAGTAAGGTTTTACAAAGTTTTTTTTTTTTTGAGACAGAATATTGCTCTGTAACTCAGTCTGGCCTGGAAACTTTAAATTTCCTACCTGTCTCTCAGCTATTGAGAATATAGACACATACCATCATGCCCAGCAACACTTGTATTTTGTGTGTGTGTGTGTGTGTGTATGTAAGTAAGTGAGAATAGGTGCCTCTTCTGGACTCTGGGCATAAGTGCGCACACACACAGGCATTTGTGTTTAGGGCTTGTTATATGAGTACAGCAAATGTTTTTAGTCACTGAGCAGTCTTTCTGGCCCACAACACTCATTATTTTATCAGTAACTTTTCATTACCTTTTTAAAGAAGGTTTTTGGCTGGTGAGATGACACACATCTGTAATGCCATCTCTTTGAAAACAGGAGGATCAAATATTCAAGATTATGTTCTAGCTGGGCTTTGGTAGGGCATGCCTTTAATCCCAGCACTTGGGAGGCAGAAGCAGGCTGAATTTGAGGCCAGCCTTGTCTACAGAGGGATTTCCAGGACAAGCTCCAAAGCTATACAGAGAAACCCTTTCTCAAACTCTCCCCCGTAAAAAGACTAGTAGTTCCAGGCCAACCTAGACTAGACACCCTACTGTAAAGAAATCAGAATAAGAAAGCCATTTGAAAAATTGCCCAATAAAATGCAGTTGTCCTTATGACTATAAGCATCATGGATATGGGTACAACACTACCTACTGAAATCCTAGGGTAATGAACTGAAGAACACTACTGGTAAACATCATATTTCTTATCCTGATTGCACTCTGAGTCTCTAAATGCTGTGATTTAAGTATCGTAGAAGAAAGCTGAGCATTGGGTAGCTGCTATGCTTACCTTTATATTATCTTAGGTTCGTACTGCTCCTTGGAACACTACAAGAGCTTTCATTGCTGCCATGAAGGGCAAATGTCTCCTGGAGGTGACAGGAGTAGCAGATCCTACAGGCTGTGGTGAAGGATTCTCCTATGTGAAGATTCCCAACAAACCAACACAGCAGAAGGTGAGAGGCTTTGGATTTCTAGAAATCAAAAGAGGAAGGAATGAGGTTTGAGCAGTAAAGATGAATAGGGTAGAGGACACGGAAATTGCTCATTTGCCAGAATGGCATAGATGCTTACTGTTAGGAGTCCAGCTTCAGATTCTCAATTGTTTTTGTTCAAAACAGGATGATAAGGAACCTCAGCCAGTGAAGAAGACAGTCACAGGAACAGATGCAGACCTTCGTCGCCTGTCTCTAAAAAATGCCAAGCAACTTCTTCGTAAATTTGGTGTGCCTGAGGAAGAGGTAGGTGTAGAAAAGGAAAACTCTGAGTAAGAGGCTTTGTATACGGATAGAAAGGTAGGAAAGTATAAAGAACTATCTGGGGTTTTAAATGTGATATAGATCATGATAGCTCCTAAAAACTTTGCCTAAGCTTCTTTTTTTTTTTTTTTTGTTTTTCTAGACAGGGTTTCTCTGTGGCTTTGGAGGCTGTCCTGGAACTAGCTCTGTAGACCAGGCTGGTCTCTGGTATTGAACTCACAGAGATCCGCCTGCCTCTGCCTCCCGAGTGCTGGGATTAAAGGCGTGCGCCACCACCGCCCGGCTTGGTTCCTTTTTTTTTTTAAGACAGGGTTTCTCTGTGTAGCTTGTCCTGGAATTTGCTTTGTAGACCATGCTGGCCTCAAACCCAGAGATCTGTCTGCCTCTGCCTCCTGAGTGCTGGGATTCAAAGTGTGTGCTACCACCAACCAGCTTGTTTATGTTTCTATTAATGGCCCTGATTTGTCCTTTTACATCCCTAAACGAGTTACATATATGTAGTTCTGTGTTTCTTTCATAGATTAAAAAGTTGTCCCGCTGGGAAGTTATTGATGTGGTACGTACAATGTCAACAGAACAGGCTCGCTCTGGAGAGGGGCCCATGAGTAAATTTGCCCGTGGATCAAGGTTTTCTGTGGCTGAACATCAAGAGCGTTACAAAGAGGAATGTCAGCGCATCTTTGACCTACAGAACAAGTATGTTAATTTAGTACCGTGGAAAGTTTAAGCTGGAAAGGGAAGGGTTCCTGGATTTGTTTTGTTTTGAACTAATGATCTTGTGCATGCAAGACATGTACTTTATCACTAAACTGTGTCTCCAGATCCCAAATAACTATTTTTCTATTTTGGGATGAGGTCTTATTATGTAGCCTTGTTGATCTGGAACTTTCTGTGTAGGATAGGCTGCCCTTGAACTTTTGATGATCTTCCTGTATCTCCTAAATTCTGGGCCACAGGTATCTTCCACCATGCCCTACCAGATGTTGTTGTATAATGAAGAAGATCTGAAAAAAATGTAACTTGGTGGTTGGGTATCTGAAATACCAGGCACCATCTGGTATAATACTGCCAGAGTACCTGTTCCCCGTATTTTTGTTTGCTTGTTTGTTTGTTTGTTTTGTTTTGGAGTGGGGTGTGGTGGTTTGAGACAGGGTTTCTCTGTGTAGCCTTGGCTGTCCTGGAACTCACTTTGTAGACCAGGCTAGCTTCAAAATCACAGAGATCCATCTGTGTCTGCTTCCTGAATGCTGGGATTAAAGACATGTACCACCATGAACAACTTTTTTGAAGCTTTTTTTTTTTGAGACAGCGTCTTGCCATGTAGCCCATATTGGTTTCAAGCCTTTGGCACTCTTTTAGCGTTTGCCTCCTGAGTGCTGGGATTATTAGTGCGTGCCACCACACATGCTAAACCTACTGTTTTCAAAGTAATTTGGCAAAAGCTTTGAATGTCATGAAATGCTAATGATCCATGAATCTAAATGTTATGGTGTACTGGAGAGCTGAGCAGTACTTGGAGGCTAAGGCAAGAAGGATAAACAATTCAAGGCATATGGTGGGGGCAGGGAGCATCAGTAAGAGTCTCTTTGAAGGAAATTTTTAAAAATTGGCCTGTGTGTTTGCTTTCTTAACTTTTTTCCCCAGGGATTCTGAAACAGTTACTGCAATTTTGCAAATTTGTGAAATGTCTGGGAAGATGTATTTTTTGTTATGGGTTTCATGACTTTATGGATTCTTAGTATATCTTTCTAAGTTGATTTCTCAATTTTCAATTTTTCCCACCTTACTTCTTTCTACATTTGTATTTCCACTGGTCTTTAATTTTTTTCCTTTCTTGCTAGGGTTTTGTCATCAACTGAAGTCTTATCAACTGACACTGACAGCAGCTCAGCTGAAGACAGTGACTTTGAAGAAATGGGAAAGAACATTGAGAACATGCTGCAGAACAAGAAAACGAGCTCTCAACTCTCTAGGGAACGGGAGGAACAGGAGCGGAAGGAACTCCAGCGGATGCTACTGGGTGAGGGGGCGTCTCAGACAAGAGAAGGAAGGGATCAAAAATGAAGCTTGGATAAGTGCAGACTATAACTGAGTCCAAGCTGGAGACAAAGTAAGGAATGTATAGAGTAACTTGTAGATGAGGTAGAAAATTTTCTACAAACTGAACTTCAGTCTGTGAGAAAAACAATTCAAGAGATGCTGCCAACCTACTGCTTCCTCTTTCTGTATCAGGTACTTGACCAAGCCAGGGCTAGCAATGCTATATTTAAAATCAAGTCGGATTTCTGGGAATTCATCCTCCAGAGTAATAGTTTTAAAAAATACAGGAATTATCAGGCTAGGTGTAGTGGTGCAAATGGGAGGCTGAGGCGGGAGGCTCTTGATTTGAAGGCCTACCTGGGCAACATATAGACCCTGTCTTCAAAAAGATGGATGATGGTTGGTCGGTCAGTTTCTGGATGAATTTTCCAGATTGTCTTTGAAGTCCCTGAATTTATATTTAAAATTGTATACAGATAGGCAATTTTCTGAGATTTATGGCTTTCAGAAGAATCTTAAAGGAGTCTTTAGATCCAAAAAAGAGCTAAAAATCATCCATTAATTGCAGAAACTGATGGTGAGGGTGGTGGATAACAATGTCCCCGTGATTGTTCTGATAATAGATATTAAACAGGCATTTACTGTAGATAACCTCCTGGCAATATATGGCTCTTACACCTCACGTTCTTTACTAATACAATTCTAGATCACAGTATCTACATTACATGAAAATTTATTAGACAGAATCATCTTAAATGTCTCTCCATACCTACTGAGTTTAGTCTACATTTTTACAAAACCCCGTGTTTCCTAATCATATTAAAATTTAAGAAGCATGCACAAGGTCTTAAGACTGGGCTTATTTTTTCCACCTGAGTCTTTGCTTGGATGTTTTCATCAACTGTTTGCTGCTAAGAGTTTTCTATCACTCTGCTATTCAAAGGAATAACAGTATAACTTGCTTCTCTGTCTCTAATAGCAAACATAATACTTTGAGGTATTTCTAGAATGATTGTATTTATAAAAATGGAAATTGGCAGTGGTTAAAAACAACCCAGGAAAGGGCAAATCAGGGTGCTTTGTGACTAAAAACAACTCTGTTTTTAATAGAACCAGAGTTTTGTGGTATGTTGAATTCTCCATTTAACCTTAAGAAAGTGGCCATTTGAGTTTTAGAATGTTTGGAAATTGTTTTCAATTTTGCAGCAGCAGGCTCAGCATCAGCAGGAAATAATCACAGAGATGATGACACAGCTTCGGTGACTAGCCTTAACTCTTCTGCCACTGGACGCTGTCTCAAGATTTATAGAACATTTCGAGATGAAGAGGGGAAGGAGTATGTTCGTTGTGAGACAGTCCGAAAACCAGCTGTTATTGATGCCTATGTGCGCATACGCACCACAAAAGATGAGGAATTCATGTGAGTTTGATGTGCCACTTTTTAGTGTGGCGGGGAAAATAATGATGGAGATAAAGTATATACATGAGTTGTAGTGATAGGAATATATATATATATATATATATATAAAATCTGCTATCATTTAGAACCTCTTGCCTTTAGAACTTTGAATTTGAACAGGGCCAAATCACTGAGAAAATAACTATGTTATATTTGGAATTACTCCTAGCACTTGGGAGAATTCAGCAGGAGGAACATGGGATCTAGACCAGTCTGGGTTATAAAACATTGTCTCAAAAATCAAAAGCAAAACCTTTTCTTTTAAGATTTATTTATTTATTGTGTATACAGTATTTTGTCTACATGTACACTTGCCGGCCAGCAGAGGGCACAAGATCTCATTACAGATGGTTGTGAGCCACCATGTGGTTGCTGGGAATTGAACTCAGAAGCTCTGGAAGAGTAGCCAGTGCTCTTAACCTCTGAGCCATCTCTCCAGCACCCAAAAGCAAAATCTTAATGATTATTTGAGACTTAGACTGAGAGATGGTACTCTATGCATATGAAGATGATGATGGCAGGTAGTTTATCTCACTTCAGTCTGGAAGAATTACCATTCTGACATGGCAGCTTTCAGGGTAGTCATCTTGATTTAAGTTGCTTATGGTCCTGTTGTATTTTTTTTCTCCTATTGTGTAGTCGAAAATTTGCGCTTTTTGATGAGCAGCATCGAGAAGAGATGCGAAAAGAACGGAGGAGGATTCAAGAACAATTGAGGAGACTTAAACGAAACCAGGAAAAGGAGAAGCTGAAGGGTCCTCCTGAGAAAAAGCCAAAAAAAATGAAGGAACGCCCTGACTTAAAAGTAAGTGTATAATAGCAGGTGTTGTAGGACACAGTGTAATCCTAGATAGGCTGTGACAGATTTGTAAGTTTGAAACACAGAGAGACCCTGTCTCAAAAAGAAAAAGAAAAAAATTGCTTAATGATGTAATCACCACTAAGGAAGCAAAGGAAGATACCATACCTTTTCACTCAGCTTTTGTCATCTTTGGTTACTGGAAATGAAAACAGTATTATGGAACGTTGGGTTATATTACTTACAATATACCTGTAACAACACCTGCAGTCCCAGTACTAGGGAAGCTGAAGCAGGAAGATCAGGAACAAATCTTCATAGTGAATTCAAGTTCCCCAGGGCTACATGAGGCCCTCAGAAAGAAAGCACTCGCGCGTGTGTGCACATGCACACTTACTTTAGGAGTTGAGTAGGTTTGGTACATTTTATTTATATTCATATGTCTTTTTTAAATTTATTTTTACGAGCCAGGCATTGGTGGTGCACCACCACCAAGAGAAATACTGTCTCGGAAAAAAAGGCAAATCTTTTTTTTTTGAGACACGGTTCCCCTGTAGCTTTCCTAGAACTCGCTCTATAGATCAGGCTGGCCTCAAACTCACAGATCTGCCTGCCTCTGTCTCCTGAGTACTGGGATTAAAGGTGTATGCAAACACTGTCTGGTCAAATAAAGAATTTCATGCCAATGTTACTACCACTATCATCAGCAATGACACATGAGAAAATCAAAAAGAGTGAAAGGAAGGATATAAGGTTGTGAGAAACTTTTCTTTTGCCACTACTAGGGACAGAAAGTATTTCTATTTATTACATTTTGTGTGTATGTGCAAATGTGGGTAATCAAGCCATGGCACATGTGTTGTCAGGACAACTTTCTTTCTTTTTTTTTTTTTGGTTTTTTTTTTGAGACAGGGTTTCTTTGTATTGTTTTGGAGGCCATCCTGGAACTCGCTCTGTAGACCAGGCTGGCCTCGAACTCATAGAGATCCGCCTGCCTCTGCCTCCTAAGTGCTGGGATTAAAGGTGTGTGTCACCAATGCCCAGCGTCAGGACAACTTTCAAGAGTCGGCTTTCTCCTTCCACTATTGGTTCTGGAGATTGAACTCCGGTTGTCAGTCTTACATAGCAAGTACTTTTATCTGCTGAGTCAACTGGCTGGCATTATTTATTAATTTTGAGACAGTGCTTCATATAGCCCAAACTGGCCTTGAACATGCTATGTAGCCACCAAGGATGACCTTGAATTTATGATCCTCCTGCCTCCACTTCCCAAGTGCTGGGATTATAGGCATGTGCCACCATACCCAACCATATTCCCTTGTGCATGATCTGGTACTCTACTCAACTCTGGAACTATAAACATAAATAACAGTATCACTAGAAAGTCACGAACTGGGTTGGATGGTGGTGGTGCATGCCTTTAATCCCAGCACTCAGGAGGCAGAGGCAGTCTGGTCTACAGAGCTAGTTCCAGGAAAGCCAGAGGTGCTATACAGAGAAACCCTGTCTTGAAAAAAGAAAAACAAAACCAAAAACAAAAAAGAAAATTAAAAAAAGAAATAATAAAGTCATGAACTGGCCAGATATATCAGATAAATAAATAACTATGGGATAAGAGTTTTAAAGCTGACTGCACTTTGCTCAGTAATATAGAGGATCAAAAGTTTTTCAGCAATTTGATAAATCAGTCTTTTAGAAAGAATGATATAGCCGGGCGGTGGTGGTGCACTCCTTTAATCCCAGCACTTGGGAGGCAGAGGCAGGTGGATCTCTGTGAGTTCGAGACCAGCCTGGTCTACCGAGCAAGTTCCAGGACAGGCTCCAAAACAATACAGAGAAACCCTGCCTGGAAAAACAAAAAAACATTTTTACTTTATGTGTATTGGTGTGAAGGTGTCAGATCCCAGGAGACTCGAGTCACAGACAGTTGTGAGCTGCCATATGGGTGGTGCAAATTGAATCCTGGTCCTCTGGAAGAGCAGTGTTCTGAACTGTTCAGCCATCACTCAGCCCCATATAGTCAAATACTTTGCTCTTGGACATCAGACCCAGGACCTGATATGTATTAGGCAAGCACACTACTGTTGACCTACTTCCCTAACCTAATAGTCCTTTTTTAATATGGTAACTTATTAAAAGAAGTGGCCAGAGAGATGGCTCAGTGGTTAAGAGTGCTTACTGTATGAGAGGACTGGGGTTTAGATCTTAGCACTTATATTGGATGGTTCAAAAACATCTGTAACTCCAGCTTCAAGAGATCTAACACCGCTCTTCTGACCTTTGTAGGTACTTATGCATGCACACTTGGATATATACCTATATACAGCGATACACATACACAAAAAGTCTTTTAAAAAATTAGGAAAAAACAAGAATACATAGTATCCAGGTTATTTTGCATCACTTAGGTTAAAGATTCCATGCACTACTATATAATGTTGTTTCTACTCTTGACATGGTTCAGCCTGTTTACCTCTAACATGTTGGGTTTTTTTTCTGTTGCAGCTGAAATGTGGAGCATGTGGTGCCATCGGGCACATGAGAACAAACAAATTCTGCCCCCTTTATTATCAAACAAATGCTCCACCTTCCAATCCTGTTGCCATGACAGAGGAACAGGAGGAGGAGTTGGAAAAGACAGTCATTCATAATGATAATGAAGAACTTATCAAGGTTGAAGGGACCAAAATCGTTTTAGGAAAACAGCTAATTGAGAGGTAAGGGGCTGCTGTATCAGAGATCTGTTCAAGGTTGAGAATGATGGTTAGCAGGGGTAAATGTGATGTAATTGTTCTCTGAAGTGTAATTAGGGATTACAGGAACTTTGGATTATCATTAGCACTTTTTGCCAGTAATGAAAACTGCAGTGATCATTAGGGCCTACTATTTGCCTTTGTACATGCTATGCTTTCTGAGTCTTAGATGTTTTGGGGGAGTTGGGGAGTTGTTTTTTCAATACAAGGTATCTGCATAGCCCTGACTGTTCTGGGACTCACTCTATAGACCAGGCTGACCTCAAATTCAGAGATCCATCTGCCTCTGCCATCTGAGTACTTGGAATAAAGGTGCGTGCTGCCAAGCCTGGCTAAGTCTTAGTATTTACACTAGTACCCTTACCAAAGTACTGTTTTGTTTTACTTTTGTGTGTGGGTGTGTGGCATTGGTAGGCACAGTAGGCAAGTGTTCTATCACTGAGCCATATGTCCTAAAACTCTTGCAAAAAATTTTAAAGGTTTTGTTAAATTACCCAGGCTGGTCTTTAACTTAGACTCTTTCTGTCTCAGCCTCCTACATAGCTAGAATTACAAGGTTGGAGCTCTATACCTAGCATGTGGGTAGTTAAGATAAAATGAGAGACTATAAAACAGACTACACTTACACTGAATCTTCTTGCCCTTAGAGAATTTAATAGATAAAAAGAGATGTTAAAATTTTTCCCATTATAAACTGAGCCAGGTGGTGGTGGCATCGCACGCCTTTGATCCCATCACTTTGGAGACAGGGGCAGGTGAATCTCTTAAGTTCCAGGCCAGACTGTTCTACAGAGTACATTCCAGGACAACCAGAACTACACAAAAACAAACAAAAATTATAAACGTATTGAATGCTTGAAAGTTCACAATAAGGCATTCTTTTTTATAAATAAATTGAGCTATTCTTCATTTAAAGATTTATTTATTAGTATACAGTGTTCTGTCTGCATGTATGCCACACACCAGAAGAGGGCACCAGATATCATTATAAATGGTTGTGAACCACCATGTGGTTGCTGGGAATTGAACTCAGATCCTCTGGAAAAGCAGGCAGTGTTCTTAACCTCTGAGCCATCTCTCCAACCCCCACAATAAAGTATTCTAAACTCACCTGTTCACCTTTGGCCACATTTGCTAAATCTTTCTTTGTATACCTAAAATGTTTGTGATCTGAACCATTGAGAAGTAAATTGCAGGTATCATGACAGTTTACTACAAATACACACATCTCCTAAGAATTGGGTTGTAAGACATGGTACTATTATCATAACTAAGAAATAGCATTAATTTAGTAATGTGCACTGCTCAGACATTTTATTCAAATTACCCAAGTCATCTCATTGTCCTTTGTTGGCTCATTTCCTAGTTTTGAGTACAGTCCCACTTTTAACATAAGTGTATTTTGAGTCCGTCTTAATCTAAAACAATCCTCACTGTTTTGTACTTTTTATGACATTGATTTTTTTTCAGCATATAGATCAATTGTCCTACAAAATAACCCACTTTCTTGATTTTGTGTTAAGTAGAACAAAAATTTATTTTAAGAAGTAAAAATGCTCAAGAGGCCAGGCGGTGGTGGCATACGCCTTTAGTCCCAGCACTCGGGAGGCAGAGGCAGGCGGATCTCTCTGAGTTCGAGAACAGTGCGAGTTCCAGGACAGCCTCCAAAACAATACAGAGAAACCCTGTCTCGAAAAACCAAAAAAAAAATGCTCAAGAGTATGAGGGATCCCAGCACTCGGGAGGCAGAGGCAGGAGGATCTCTGTGAGTTCGAGGCCAGCCTGGTCTACAAAGTGAGTTCCAGGACAGCCTCCAAAGCCACAGAGAAACCCTGTCTCTGAAAAACCAAAAAAAAAAAAAAGAGTATGAGGGATGCCAAGGGGGGGAAAGACCTGCTTTGTTTTCTTCTGATTGGACTCATATATTTTTTGAATAGATATTTAATAGACTACCTAGTTGATACTGTGTATTTAACACACTATCAAGCACATAATGTCAGGTTTTCCTACTATTTTGATCATCTTCCTTTCTAGAACTGGGGATTTAACCTAGGTCCTTGAGGTTGCTAGGCAAGTACTCTACCACTGACATGTGCCTCCAGACCTTTTGATCACCTTGAAGTAGTAATCCCCAGGTCTTGTAGGAAAGATTTAGTTTTCTTTTTGCAGTTAACACAAGGATGGCTATCCTGTTTCAGCCTGAACAGCTTCACTGGTTTTAGAACTACTGCTGATCATTGACAAGTTATTTTATTGGCACTTGTAAAGTGGTGATTTTTTTATAATTCTAGAATTTCTCTATTGTAGCTGGTGATTTGGGGTTTTTGATTTGTTTTGTTTTTGGGGGTAAGGAAAACTTCATCCTTTCCATTTTAATGTATTATTGTGGATTCTGAAATTCTTCCTTTATAAATTTAATGCATTACATGCGAATTTGACTCTTTTAAGACAGATCCTGTGGTGATTTTAAAAATATTTATTTTCATTTTGTGAATATTTTGCCTGCATGCATGTATATGTACCACACAAATGCCTGTTATCCACAGAGACTAAAATTGAGAGTTGGATCCCCGGTGATTAGAATTATAGATCATTACAAGAGCTGCCCAATAGGTGCTGGTAATTATACTCAGGTTCTTTGAAAGAGCCATAAACACTCTTAACTGCTGAGTCATCTCTCAGGGCCCTCAGATCTGTGATTTTGAAATGATCCTATAAATCTTTGAGAAACCATTTGCTTTCTGGTACAAGATGTTAACAGTTTTCCTTGTCTCAGACTTAGAATTGACCATTTTTTGAGGTATTCAGGCCCTTCTTATTAGCAAATGACATTTAGAAACCAATATCTTGCTGGGCATTGTGGTACATGCCTGTAATCCTAACACTTCAGGGGCAGAGGCAAAAAGATTATAAATGTGAAGACAGCCTGGGCTGTATGTTGAGACTCTGTCTCGAAAATAATAAAACAAGCCAGTTGGTGGTGGGGCATGACTTTAATCCCAGCACTCAGGAGCAGAGGCCAGCCTGGTCTACAGAGCAAGTTCCAGGATGGCCAAGGCTGTTACACAGAAAAACCCTGTCTCAACAAAAATAAAAACAAGAAATAAACAAAAAGTAGAGCTAGAGAGATGACTTATCTATTAGTCATCTTGCTTCTCTTCAAAGGACCTAGGTTGGGTTCCTAGTACCTAAACCACGTGGCTCACAACCATCTATAATTCCAGCTCTAGGCAATCTAGCACTTCTGGCATCTGCATGCTGCTGCAGTCATGTACACATACCCACATGCAGACATACATACCTCCTACATATAGTTAAAAATAATAAAAAGTAACTCTTAAACAAAAGAAAGAGAAACTAAGATCTTGGTGTTACATATGTTTGCTGTTACCACTGGGATATCCTTGATTTTTTTTGGCATTTTAGTGGACAGAACTAGTAAGTATACATGTATTTTATATTATAATTTCAAGCTAATACTTTAATTCACATCATACCTATCATCCCATTTCATATTTGTATCCTTTCTCTGATTTCAACATCAGTATATTATTCCTTTTCCTTTGACTTATAAATATAAAGTAATTTCAGAATTACTATACCATTATTAACAAAAAAACCCTATAAATAGGTTCAGGAGTTTTGGAGTTTGTTGTCTGACTATGCAACTGAAGTTATACAGTGAGGTATTCAGAACGTTTGAGCTGGGCCTAGTGGTACAGGCCTGTAATCCCAGCTACATGGGAAGCTGAGCCAGGAGGAGCGAAAGTTGAAGACCAGCCTGGGCTACAAAGTGAGTTCAAGGTTAGCCTTGGAGGGATAGGGAAGTGGGAAGGTATATTCCTTTAACTCCAGCACTTGTATGAGTTCTGAGTCAGCCTGGTCTACATAGCCACTTTCAGGATACACAGGGCAATGTATGTAAGGCTGTCTCAAAAAAAAAGCCACAATCCAAGAAACAACATAAGGAGAGATGATTCAGTGGTTAAGAGCACTTGCTGCTCTTCACCAAGACCTGGATTCAGTTTCCAGCACCTATATAGCAGCTTACAACTATTTGTAACTTCACCTCTATTGAGGATATCCTGCACCTTCTTTTGGCCTCTTAGGCACCAGGCACAGATATGGTGCACGTACGTACAAGCAACGCATTCATGCACATAAAATAGAAATGTTGAGGCTAGAAAGATGGCTCAGTGCTTAAGAACACTAGCCGTTCTTCCAGAAGTCCTGAGTTCAATTCCTAGCAACCATATGATGGCTCACAACCATCTGTAATGAGATATGGTGCTCTCTTCTAGGCTTCAGGGATACATGCAGACAAAACACTGTATATATAATTAATTAATTTTTTAAAACTTGAAATCTGTCTTTTTTTAAGGAAAAGAGGGATAGGAATATAATAATAGCTCATTTGTACATCTCTTGTTTAGTATATGCAAAGCCCTAGATTCCATCTTTCTGTATATAATTGTAAGCATCAGTTTGGTACAATTACTCTGTTGCTTTTTTGCATTCAATTTACTTTCTTCTATCCTTATTGATTTGTCAACATATGTAAGTCATCATCTGTTTTGTTTTTGGTTTTTGTTTTTTTCAGACTGGGTGCCTGTACTAGAACTTGCTTTGTAAACCAGGCTAAACTCCACCTTCCTCTGCCCATTGAGTGCTGGGATTATAGGCATGTATCACCATGCCTTGCATCATATATTAGAAGTACATTGGAAAGGGAAAATGTGCCATCTTGATACCTTACAGTGGAAGGGGAGGAGGTGGATTGGTTGTTTTCTTTTGTTTTTCGAGACAGAGTTTCTCTGTGGCTTTGGAGGCTGTCCTGGAACTAGCTCTTGTAGACCAGGCTGGTCTCGAACTCACAGAGATCTGTCTGCTCTGCCCCCGGAGTGCTGGAATTAAAGACATGTGCCACAACGCCCTGGCCGAGGTGGATTGGTTTTAAAAATTTCAGGAACTCTTGTCTGGCGGCGGTGGTGCGTGCCTTTAATACCAGCACTGGGGAGGCAGAGGCAGGTGAATCTGTAGTTCAAGACCAGTCTGGTCCACAAAGCAAGTTCCAGGACAGCCAGGAAACCTTGTCTCAAAAAACAAACAAAAAAGTTTCAGGAACCCGTCCCCTCCTTTTTTTCCTATACTGATTTTTCATTTATTTCCTTTTTTGTCTTTTTGTTTCTTTCTTTACCTCCTTTTCTCCCCCTCTCCCTTTCTTTCTTTCTTTCTTTTTTTTTTTTTTTTTGGTTCTTTGAGACAGGGTTTCTCTGTATTGTTTTGGAGGCTGTCCTGGAACTAGCTCTGTAGACCAGGCTGGCATCGAACTCGCAGAGATTTGCCTGCCTCTGCCTCCCAAGTGCTGGGTCTAAAGGCGTGCACCACCAACACCAAGCTCATATTTTGTTTTTCTTTATGTTTTGTTTTGTTTTGAGCAAGGTCTCACTGTGTAGTCCTGACTGGCTTGGAACTTCTTTGTAGATCAGGCTGGCCTTAAATTCACAAAGACCTGCCTACCTCTGCCTCCCCAGTATGCCATCATGCCCACACTCCTTTATATTCTGAATGAGTTAAATGTTCTAGCTTTTGAACCCAAAGATAAAATGTTAGAACTGGAAGGAGTCTTAAAATGCCTTTAGCCTCGTTCCCTCATTTTCAAAATAGAAAACTGATTTGGAAGTCCTCACATCCTATTTACTCTGAGGCTTAAAAGATGACTGGCCTTTGACTTCTTTGACTTTTCTTACCCTGTGCTCACAATTAGGGACTTTGGACCTTTTCATTGTAGTTGCTTTATTCCCGGGAACTATAAAAATCTGTTTTGAGTTATATGATTTATTTTATGTATATGAGTGTTTTGCCTGCATATATGTAAGTGCACCACTGTGTATGCCTGGTACCCACAGAGGCTAGAAGGGGGTATCAGATCCTTTGGAACTAAAGTTACTGTTTAGTTGTGAGCTACCCTGTAGGTGCTGGGAGCTGAACCAGGGTTCTCTCTATAAGAGTAGCAAGTACTCTTAATCACTAAGACATCTTTTCATCCCTGTTTCTGGGAACTATAAATAACACAATATGGCAATGTTACTGATTGCAGTGCAGATGAAGTTCGCAGAAAATCTCTGGTCCTGAAGTTTCCTAAACAACAACTTCCTCCCAAGAAAAAACGGCGGGTTGGAACCACTGTTCACTGTGACTATTTAAATGTGAGTATCCACATTGTCTTCATATCAGATGGGTTCTCATTGATTCCTGCAGCTTTCTATGACACAGCTTTGTAAGTGTGTCCTTATGTCTGTTCCTTCAGACTTATGTGTACTGTTCATTGTTTTACTATTTTTAGGTGTTTGAGACAGGGTTTCTCTCTGTAGCCCTGTGGCTTTCTTGGAACTAACTCTGTAGAGCAGGCTGGTTTTGAACTCAGAAATCTGCCTGCCTCTGCCTCCTGAGTGCTGGGATAAAAGCATGTGCTTTTACCTGGCTTTAAATTTTATTTACTTATTTATTTTTATTTTGTGTGTGTGTGTGTATTCATCTGTGCGTGTGCCATGATGCACACATGGAAGTCAGGACATGTGGAGTGAGTTCTCCTTCTTTTACATGGAATCTGGAGATCAAATTATAGTCACTATCTTGTACTGCAAGTGCCACTGAGCCCGCTTCTCTTTTTGATGTTGCATGAGTGTATTGCCTGAGTGTTTATATGTGCACTGTGTGTGTGTCTGGTACCAGCAGAGCCCAGAAGCAAGTGCACTGTGGTTTTGGTTATAAATCACTATGTGGGTGCTGGGATCTGAACCCAGGTCCTGCAAAAGTACCAAGGGTTCTTGACCACTGAACCATCTCTTCAGCTTGTCGTCCTCCCCCCTTTCAAACTTTGCTTTTAAGATTGGGTTTCCCTCTAACCCAGGATGGTATGGAACTTACTGTGTATTCTAGTCTGGCCTTGAACTTGCAGCAATCTTCCTACCTTAACCTTCCAATTGCTGAGATTATAGGCTTAAGCCCTCCAAGTCTGGATTTATTGAATATTTCTAAAAATGTATCAGTATATTTGAAAAATATATCAGAATTTTTATATCTAAAGAATTCTGATTTCTTGTTTTTGTTTTATTTTGTTTTGTTTTAGAGACCTCACAAATCCATCCATCGTCGCCGGACAGACCCTATGGTGACACTGTCATCTATCTTGGAGTCTATCATCAATGACATGAGAGATCTTCCAAATGTGAGTTTATTACATTAGATACATAGAATAGGAAAGCCAAGACCCTTTGTTTTTTCTGTTACTTCAGCTAGATGACAATAGTGTGTATACCTGTATATCTGGAACTTCTAATTCTTTGGAATTTTGTCTATTTTTAAATTGTTTGATAGAATATTAGGTGATGAAGGACAGAATGTAGGCAAAGGACACATGAGTTATAACAGGATATAAAGCTAATTTTTTTCTAGTTTCAATTCAATTTTCTTTCCCCCGCCCTTCCCACCAGGTCCCTCAGTCCCCCACCCAATCTCCACCAATTTTCTTTTTTTGTGATAGGTATGTGAATTCAGTTTTCTGAATATTTAAGTAGCAAGAATCTTTTTTTTTTTTTTTGGTTTTTTGAGACAGGGTTTCTATGTATTGTTTTGGAGGCTGTCCTGGAACTTGCTCTGTAGACCAGACTGGCCTCGAACTCACAGAGATTCGCCTGCTTCTGCCTCCCGAGTGCTGGGATCAAAGACATGTGCCACCAACGCCCAGCAAGAATCATTTTGTAAATTGTGTCTTTGTGTCTGTGTATGCATATGCAAGTTCCCTTGGAAGCCAGAGGCATTGGGTATTCTGGAACCAAAGTTTAAGGAGGTTGTGAGTTTCCATACATGGGAGCTGGGAATAGAACTTAGGTCCTCTGGAAGAGCATGATGTGCTATTATAACCACTGAGCCATCTCTCTAACCTCAAACTTGGTATGTCTTGCAGGAACCATTTTTGCATTCCGTATGTGTCTAGCATATATGGAGCTAGAAAGACAGCTCAGTGGTTAAGAATATATACATCTCTTGAAGAGGACTATGTTTGGTACCCAGCAGTCATGTTGGGTGACTCTCGGCCACCTGTAACTCTAGCTCCAGAGAATTCAGTGTGGTGGTGGCACATGCCTTTAATCCCAGCACTCCGGAGGCAGAGACAGGTGGATCTCTGTGAGTACAAAACCATCCTGGTCTACAGAACTATTTCCAGAATAACCAGGGCTATACAAAGAAAACCTGTTTTAAAAAAAGGAAAGACAGACAGAAGGAAATAGGTAGTGCAAGAAACAGACTTACTACATATGAAAAATCCCTTTGAGAGTTGGTAAACCAGTAAGATATAATTGGCTCTGTTAAGTTCTTTGCTTGCAAATGGTGCTGTCTCATGTTTCTACAGACATACCCTTTCCATACTCCAGTTAATGCAAAGGTTGTAAAGGACTATTACAAAATCATCACTCGACCAATGGATCTACAGACACTCCGTGAAAATGTGCGCAAACGCCTCTATCCATCTCGGGAAGAATTCAGAGAGCATTTGGAACTAATTGTGAAAAATAGTGCAACCTATAATGGTAAAGGTCCCTTGTTCTATAGCTACAAAGGTCATTTTCAGATTCCTATCGCCTTGCTGATTGTAAATTCAATAGATTAGAATGAACAAAAAGATTATAATGTACATTCATTTTTTTAAAGTAGTCTCTTATATTTTAAAAACTTGTTTTAAATTCCAGGCAAGGCAGACATGCCACAAGATACCAGGCTCCACTTTTCAGACCAGAAACTGGAGCCTGGTCACAGGATCTCACACTGCATACTGTTCCCTCATTCAGTACAATAACCATGAGTGTTCCTCCATGCCTGCAATGCAGTTTTGGTCACTTTGTCTCCCAATGCTCTCCAACAGCAGAGTGACATTGACCTCTGGCAGATTCTGGAACCCACTGACCTTGTAACCTGAATGTTCTGAGGCACTGTTAATTTTTACTTTTCTTTTTTCTTGAGACAGGGTCTCATTATGTAGTTCTGTCTGTCCTCTCTAGACCAGGCTGGCCTTGAACTCATAGAAATCTACCTGTTATAATGTACATTCTTAGGTATGAACATCAGGTAGTATACATTTCAGTCATATAATAAGTATTGCTTCTTTTTAGTTCTACTATTTAATCCTTTTTTTGAGACATAGTCTCAGAATGTAACCCTGATTGGCCTGGAACTAACTATGTAGATCAGCTTGGCTTAAAAATCACAGAAGTCCTTTGGCCTCTGCCTCCCAAATAAGTGTCATTAAATCCATGTTCTATCATACCCAGCTTCCTACTATTTGATTTTTAATGTATTCTCTGGTGAATTTGAAGTCTTATTATTGAAACAGGCTGAGTAGTGAGACAAGAAAGTAAACCTAGGTAAGTTGGAAAGGAATTAGGTATGCGTGAACTCTACAAAGGATATTCTTGTTAGCCATATTTATGTGTTTTAATTCAGTTAGCATTTTTGTTACAAGGACTAGATACTCATTTTGTTATTAAAAAACAAAACAGGAGAGGCAAGGAAGAAGAAATCAGTTTGCATTAATTCATTGTTTTCTAGTCTCAATTCAATTTTCTTTTTTGTGCTGGGTATATGAATTCAACTTTTTGAGTATTGAAGTAACAAGAATAATTTTTAATTGTGTGCATGTGCACGTGTGTGCCTGTATGCATATGCAAATTTCATTGGAGGCCAGAGGCATTGGATCACCTGGAACTGAAGTTACAGGAGGTTGTGAGTCCCTAGACATGGGAGCTGGGAACAGAACTTAGGTCCTCTGGAAAAGCATAATATGCTAGTATAACCACTGAACCATCTCTCCAGCCTGAAACTTGTCTTGCCATTCAGAGTAGATAATACCAATAGAACTATGATGGATATGTTATTTAACAACTCATAACCTCTTCTGCTTTCTCATGTATAAACAGGACAATAATATCTACATTCTGAAGCTTTCCACAAGCTAGTCCAAATTTACCAAATTTCATCTCTAATGACTACATTCCATGCTCACTGTTATATTTCACTTAAACATCCCATGGTACTTCTTCATGTCTTTAGAGTCTTTTCCTTCTTTCTGAAGTTCCCTTTCTTCCCTGCAATTGCAATGGTGAATTTCCATTCATATTTTCAGTTTAAGTCATATTATTCTTTTTTTTAGGTTTTCGAGGCAAGGTTTCTCTGTGGCTTTGGGGGGCTGTCCTAGAACTAGCTCTTGTAGACCAGGCTTGTCTCGAACTCACAGAGATCTACCTGCCCCTGCCTCCCAAGTGCTGGGATTAAAGGAGTGCACCACCACCGCCCGGCTATATCATTCTTTCTAAAAGACTGATTTATCAAATTGCTGAAAAACTTTTGATCCTCTATATTACTGAGCAAAGTGCAGTCAGCTTTAAAACTCTTATCCCATAGTTATTTATTTATCTGATATATCTGGCCAGTTCATGACTTTATTATTTCTTTTTTTAATTTTCTTTTTTGTTTTTGGTTTTGTTTTTCTTTTTTCAAGACAGGGTTTCTCTGTATAGCACCTCTGGCTTTCCTGGAACTAGCTCTGTAGACCAGACTGCCTCTGCCTCCTGAGTGCTGGGATTAAAGGCATGCACCACCACCATCCAACCCAGTTCGTGACTTTCTAGTGATACTGTTATTTATGTTTATAGTTCCAGAGTTGAGTAGAGTACCAGATCATGCACAAGGGAATATGGTTGGGTATGGTGGCACATGCCTATAATCCCAGCACTTGGGAAGTGGAGGCAGGAGGATCATAAATTCAAGGTCATCCTTGGTGGCTACATAGCATGTTCAAGGCCAGTTTGGGCTATATGAAGCACTGTCTCAAAATTAATAAATAATGCCAGCCAGTTGACTCAGCAGATAAAAGTACTTGCTATGTAAGACTGACAACCGGAGTTCAATCTCCAGAACCAATAGTGGAAGGAGAAAGCCGACTCTTGAAAGTTGTCCTGACGCTGGGCATTGGTGACACACACCTTTAATCCCAGCACTTAGGAGGCAGAGGCAGGCGGATCTCTATGAGTTCGAGGCCAGCCTGGTCTACAGAGCGAGTTCCAGGATGGCCTCCAAAACAATACAAAGAAACCCTGTCTCAAAAAAAAAACCCAAAAAAAAAAAAAAAAGAAAGAAAGTTGTCCTGACAACACATGTGCCATGGCTTGATTACCCACATTTGCACATACACACAAAATGTAATAAATAGAAATACTTTCTGTCCCTAGTAGTGGCAAAAGAAAAGTTTCTCACAACCTTATATCCTTCCTTTCACTCTTTTTGATTTTCTCATGTGTCATTGCTGATGATAGTGGTAGTAACATTGGCATGAAATTCTTTATTTGACCAGACAGTATTTGCATACACCTTTAATCCCAGTACTCAGGAGACAGAGGCAGGCAGATCTGTGAGTTTGAGGCCAGCCTGATCTATAGAGCGAGTTCTAGGAAAGCTACAGGGGAACCGTGTCTCAAAAAAAAAAAAGATTTGCCTTTTTTTCCGAGACAGTATTTCTCTTTGTATTCCTGGTTGTTATGGAACTCACTCTGTAGACCAGGCTGGCCTAGAACTCAGAGATCAGTCTGCTTCTGCCTCCTGAGTGCTGGGATTAAAGACGTGTGGCACCACCACCTGGCATTTACTTTATTGTTTTAATTATGTATATGTGTTTGGGTGTTTGCAAGTATCTACAGAGACCAGAAGCATTGGATCACGCTAGAACTAGAGTTATAAGCAATGGTGAGTTGGTGTGGGTGCTGGAAACTGAACTACAAGAGTAGTACACACTTTTTAAATCACTGAGCCATCTCTCTAGCTCCTTACTCTTTTTCATTGCTACTTCAGCTACTAAATGTCTACTGAAGCCCCTTTCTTCTGTCTCTACATCTATTCAAGACTTGAAACCCTTGTTTCAAATTGTCTTCTAGACACGACTAGTTCTTATTTCCTACTGGAAACTCATTATCTGATTGCCTGTGTAGATAAATGATTTTGCTGGCTGCCTAGTTGTACAACCTAGAAATTTCAGTCATAATTGATCCCATGTTCTTTTCCTCACACTTATAACTAAGTCCTATAAAGTATACTGTCTGCATTTTTTTGAACTTGGCCCTTTCATTTTTGTCACTATTGCTACTTTAATTGAAGCCCTTGTTATCTCTTGTTTAACCTCTTGCAACAGCTGCCAAACATTTTTGCTTAAATTCTTCCTAATGTTTATAAGATGGCAATTCTCCCCTAGAACTCAAATTTAGGAAATTACTGTCTTAGACTAATGGGTATGGCTCAGAGGTAGAGCACTTGGCTAACATGTTTAATGTCCAAGTACCATAAAAAAAAAGTGAACAAAGAAAAGAAGCATCATTAACCAGTTTAAAATAGCTTTCTAGTGCCTATAAAACTTTCTAATGTGGTCCCTTCTGACTCTGCAAGTTCATCTCTTGTCCTTTCCTATATGTGTGCAAATGCATACAGACACACATACACCACACACACACACACCTTTATTATGGTATTAAAACTACTTGTGACCCTAATGAAGTGTACTATAGAATGTTTCTATGAATTTGACTAATTCTGTGTCTTTGTGTACTTTTCCTTCTCTCTGGAATGTCATTCCCTGTTCTTTGCCTGTTGGACTTCTGTTCTTTAATCACTATGTATATGTGAGTCAGAACAAGCCTTCTCTACATCCCCAAAGCAGATTTTTTCCTTTCTTTTTATTCTAGTAAAGATTGAACCCAGAGCTTCCAGCAAGTACTCTACCTCTTAGCTATATCCCAGACCCCCTTTATTTTTTTATTGTGGAATGAGGTCTTCCTAAGTTGCACAGGCTAGCCTTGAACTTTTCTTGTAGCCCAGTTTGCTTTTAAACTTGCAACCTATGCCTCAGCCTCCAGTGTAGCTAAAATTACCAACCTGCATCACCAGTCTTGGTTTCCAATTAGCAGATTTGATGTACAATGATGTAGACTATAGTTTATGTACAACCAATGTATTTCATTTATACTGATAGTTTTTTAAGTTTATTATGGAAATTTAAGAGGGATAAATTTTAGTGTACATATTCACTGAATTTAACAATTTGTTCCGGGGGGGGGTGGCGCACCCCTTTAATCCCAGCACTTGGGAGGCAGAGGCAGGCGGATCTCTGTGAGTTCGAGACCAGCCTGGTCTACAGAGTGAGTTCCAGGACAGCCTCCAAAGCCACAGAGAAACCCTGTCTCGAAAAACCAAAAAAATAAAAAAATAAATACTAGTTAGGTTGGGTGGTAGTGGCACACACCTTTAATTCCAGCACTTGGAAGGGAGAGGCAGGAGGATCTCTTGAGTTTAAGGCCAGCCTGGTTGACAGAGCACGTTCCAGGGCAGCCAAGACTAACAGAGAAAACCTGTCTTGAAAAAAATAAAAAAGAAATACTAGTTAGATGGAAATATTTGGAGGGGGAGGGAGATTTCTTTCTGGATTTGAGATGGTCTAATTATGTAGTCTAGGTTACCCCAGATCTGCTAATCCTCTGGTTGAAGCATCTTAAGTGCTGTGATTACAGGTATGTGTCCAATACTCACACCTTAAAAATGTTTTAATTATTCCAGAGATGAACTTAAATGGTACAGCTTTAAGCAGAGAATGTATAAGAGAGGTCAGATACTTAAAGAATTTTTGAAATACTTAGTAATTATTTCTGGGAAGATGAAATAATAGTCTTTGTGCTGGAGAATCTGTCTACTAAGCAGAAAATTTAAAATGTTCCAATAAACATAAACCATTCTTAAATACATTCTTCATCCACAGAATGATATTCAAGGCATTAAAAGCCCCAATAGAGCTGGCTCATGCCTTTAGTCCCAACACTAGGGAGACACAGAGACAGGTGAATATCTGAGTTCCAAGCTACATAGAAAGTTCTGAGCCAGCCAGAGCTACATAGTGAGACACTGTCTCAGAAAACAAAAACAAACAAAAAAGCAGTTATAATACACGTGTGTGTGGACCCAAATAAAAACAGTTAAAATTCATTACACACCTGTAATCCCAAAAAAGTGAAGACAAGAGGATCTGAAGTTGAAGGTCATTCTTAGCTACATAGTGAGTTCTAGACCATCCTGGGATACAAGGGACTTAAAGAAAAAATAAAAATGAAAAAGCTGGTATATATACCTAACTCAGTTACTAGGCTGGTGCCTGGGACCTTTTAGGTTCTTTAGTAAATGTGTTACGTGTTGGAAACATGGCAACTTTGGGCTCTTATTTATAATGGACATTTCTTATTCCTCTGTAGGGCCGAAACACTCACTGACTCAGATTTCTCAATCTATGCTGGATCTCTGTGATGAAAAACTCAAAGAGGTAAGAAAGATAAGAGAAAGTAGTGGGCATACTGACATACACCTATAATCCTAGCACTTGGGAGTTGAAGACAGGAGGGTCAGGAGCTTAAAAAATCATCCTCAGCTACATACTGAGTTCTAGAGCTGCTTGAACTGCATGAGAATTTGACCCAAAAATCAAAATAGATTTAAAAAAAAAACACAAGAAATGCTGTGGTATATGAAGATGGAGAATAGTGGAGTTTAGGAACTAGAGTGTTTAACAGAAGGAACAGTATCTGAGGGAATGGCAAATCTTTGGTACATTGACAAATAGGGATTTATAACTTATACAGATGCTGTCTTCTGTAGATGGGACAGCCAAGTCCAAAGAGGAAAATTACTTGCTCTGGAATCATGCTGGGATTAAGATCCTAAACTGATACAACTTTAGAAAGGATGATGGAAAATGACTTCCTAGGAGATCTCCTGTAGCTCACATTACAACTCATTGCTGTACCAGGGAGGCATATTGAAAAAAAATATTTTTGAGATAGTGCCTTATCTAGCTCAGGCTTGCTTGAAACTAATAGGTTGTCTAATATGTTGGCCTTAAGTTCATGGTGCTCCTTATACCTCAGCCTCCTAAATTCTAGGATTATAGGTCTGTCTGAGCCACTAGGCCTAAAGACAGTTTAATTTTTAAAAAATTATAGGATTGGCCGGGCGTTGGTGACGCACGCCTTTAATCCCAGCCCTCAGGAAGCAGAGACAGGCGGATCTTTGTGATTTTGAGACCAGCCTGGTCTACAAGAGCTAGTTCCAGGACAGCCTCCAAAGCCACAGAGAAACCCTGTCTCGAAAAACCAAAAAAAAAAAAAATTAAAGGATTATCTGTATCTTCTGTCTTTTGGGCTGCTTTTTCCCCTGTGAGCTATTAAGTAAGCACTGTTAACACTAAAGTTAAAGTTACAGCCTCAGACCTTCTGTAAATTCCTGTTCTTTTTTTTTTTTTTTTTTTTTTTTTTTGGTTTTTTGAGACAAGGTTTCTCTTTGGCTTTGGAGGCTGTCCTGGAACTCACTTTGTAGACCAGGCTGGCCTCGAACTCACAGAGATCCGCCTGCCTCTGCCTCCCAAGTACTGGGATTAAAGGCGTGCACCACCAACGCTCGGCCCCTGTTCTTTTTTTAATGTTCATTGGTGTTTTGCCTGTGCATATGTCTGTGTGAGGATGTTGGGTCCCCTGGAATTAGACAGTTGTGTGTAAAAAGAGGTTCTTGTTCAACATGGTCCTGCCACCCTTCTCAGCCCAAATAAACACACAGACACTATATTAATTATAAAACTATTGGTTGGTGGCTAGGGCTTTTTATTGGCTAGCTCTGTCTTAATTATTAACCATTTCTATTAATATAAGTATTTCCACATGTTCTTATCTTACCAGAGAACACCTGGCTCATCCTCTCTTCCCGGTCTCACATGGCATCTGATCCCTGGCAGGCTCTCCTGCCTACCTTTCCCAGAATTCTCCTCATCCCTAGTCCTGCCTATCTCCCTGCCTCTTTTGGCCACAGTGTTTTATTCATTAACCAATAAGAGAAACATATATACAGAAGGACAGCCCCATCAGTTGTGAGCTGTCATGTGATTGCTGGGAATTGAACCTGGGTCCTCTGGAAGAGCAGTCAGTGCTCTTAACCACTGAGCCATCTCTCCAGCCCCATAAACCCCTATTCTTAACAAAGAAGATTGTGGTACCTTATATGTTACAAAAGCACAGATAATAATGAAGTTGATACTGATATAGATATTTCACAAGAGAACATGATTGATAAACATGGAAAATTTTCTCAACATGATTGACATAAATTGCATGTTTAACCCACAGTTATCTGAGCATAGTAATACATACCTGTGATGGCAGCACTTGGAAGTCAGAGGCAGGATAAATACAAGTTTCAGGCCAGCCTAGGCTATATGTTGAGACCCTGTCTCAAAATTAAAAGCACACACCAGTTAGATTCTTTTTTGTATCTGTTAGAAGGCTAAAGTCCTGTATCCAACGTAGAGGTAAATTGTGGCAATATTCAAGTTCAAGGTTGGCCTGTGACTTAGAAGGGGGCGCCCAATGAGATTAAGGATCCAGACAGTGAGAACACAGATTTTCTTTTTTTAATTTTTATTTTAGAAACAGTCTTATTTTACATATCAATCCCCCATTCTCTCGCCCTCCTGTCCTCCAATGCTCCCCACCGACTCCCCCCCACAACCCACCCCTCACCTACTCCCCAAGGATAGTGAGGCCCTCCACGGGGGACCATCAAAGTTCATCACATCATTTGGGGAAGGACCTAAGCCCTCTTTTGTTTATCTGGGTTGCAATAGTATCCCTCAATAGGGAATGAGCTCCCTGTGGATCCCCTAACATTTCCTCTGTGTCAGACCTCTCTCCAAACCTATACTGGCTCCCACTATCAAGGCATCTCCTTTCTTGCCCTCTCCTATTCCTCCCCTGTCTCAGTCCCCCTGATCTCTCCTATTCCTCTTCCCCTTCTTCCCCTCTCCCCTTCTGACTCCCCTGCCCCCCCACTCCCCCCCTGCTCCCAATTTGCTCAAGGGTTCTTGTCCCCCTCCCCTTCTTCGGGGAACCATGTGTTCTTCTCTTGGGATCTTGTTTCCTAGTTTCTCTGGTGGTGTGGATTTAGGCTTGTAGTTCTTTACTCTATGTCTAAAATCCATATATAAGTGAGTACATACCACGCTTGTCTTTCTGTGACTGGGTTACCTCACTCAGGATGTTTTCTTCCAGTTCCATCCATTTGCCTGCGAATTTCTAGATTTTGTTGTATTTTTCCATTGAGTGATACTCCATTGTGTAAATATACCATATTTTCTCCATCCATTCTTCGGTTGAGGGGCATCTAGGTTGCTTCCAGGAGAACACAGATTTTCATAGTACACAGACTGAAGTGACTTTTTTGGATTAAGTTTCCTTTTTACAAGTCACTAATCAAGCTGAGGTTGTATATTGAATGTGAAGCCAGCCTAGGATACATAGGATACATACCCTATTAGAAAACAAAAGGAGGGCTAGAGAGATAGCTCAGTGGGTAAGAGTACTAACTGTTTGCTTTTCCAGAGATTCTGAGTTCAATTCCCAGCAATCACATGATTGTAGGCTCACAACCATCCAGTATTGAGATTTGGTGCCCTCTTCTGGCCTGCAGACATACATGCAGGCAGAACACTGTATACATAATAAATAATCTTTAAAAAAAAGAAAAACAAAGAGCCATTAACTAATGGTAATGTTTGTTCTGTATTTTTAGCATTCATTTTTATAGAAAAGACAATGTTATTAAAGCCTGATTTGCTAAAGATGTTTTTGTTATTCTACCTTAACTAGTGATGTCTTGAGCTTTCTATTCTTGGTGCTATACAAGAATGGGATGTAGAATGCTTAAGGGAGCCAGATAGGGTGGTTCATGTCTTTAATCCCAGCACTCAGGAGGTAGAGGCTGGTAGATCTCTGAGTTCAAGGACAGTCAGGGCTGTTACACAGAGAAACCCTGTCTCAAAAATCAGATAAACAAAAAAGAATACTTAAAGGATTTGCTGACATGTCCATTTGTGTTGTTTCTTTAGCTAAAGTATCATTTATCTAGATTGGCCTGAAGCTGAATAATAGATAATTCAGAGGTAAATTTTGGGGGACTAAAGTCATAGGCAGCTAGCTGAACTTTAAATTATCTTTAGCTTTTCTGTGGTGATCATACTTCAGGAAAAAATGCTTTTATTTTACTTTGCTTTATTTCAGAAAGAAGATAAGTTGGCACGTTTAGAGAAAGCTATCAACCCCTTGCTTGACGATGATGACCAAGTAGCGTTTTCTTTTATTCTGGATAACATTGTCACTCAGAAAATGATGGCAGTTCCAGATGTAAGTAATTTTCATGCCAAGTATTATAAGGATAGTACTAGGAGATGAAAAGAAGTATATAGGATAAGCGTGTATATATTAAGAAATTCTAGCCATGTGGTAGTGGTGCACGCCTTTAATCCCTTCACTCGGGAGGCAGAGGCAGATGAATCTCTGTAAGTTCAAGACCAGTCTGGTCTACAAGAGCTAGTTCCAGGACAACCACAGAGAAACCCTGTCTCGATAGATAGATAGATTAATTAATTAATTAGGTAAATGAAAAAATTATATGTTGTGATGTATGTCCCTAGTAACTGGGATGTAATTTTATTTATTTATTATTTATTTATTTATTTTGGTTTTTCGAGACAGGGTTTCTCTGTGGCTTTGGAGGCTGTCCTGGAACTAGCTCTTGTAGACCAGGCTGGCCTCGAACTCACAGAGATCCGCCTGCCTCTGCCTCCCAAGTGCTGGGATTAAAGGCCACCAACTCCCGGCCTGGGATGTAATTTTAAATACTAACTTTTGCTATATGAATTCATTATCACTGAAAACAAAGATGCCAAGTATCTCTTTGAATATTAAGGGATTCTTACTTCCTGTTCTCAGCACTTAGTATTTATAAGCTCTTGAATAGCCTGGAAGAAAAGAGCTGTCAACTAATTGTAGGCTCTTGATTTAGAAATGCTCCTATACAAATATCATTTTTATTACACTTATTTATTCATGCATGTAGGGGAGGAAAATATAAGCTAAGGTTTGTGTTAGGTCAGGACAACTTGGCTGGGAGTGGTGGCACAACCTTTTATCCTAAATCTTGGGAAGAAGAAAGCAAGTAAATCATTGTGAATTCAAGGCCAGCCAGGGCTACACAATAGGGCCTGTTTTTAAGTAGCAAAACAAAGCACTTTGGAGACAAAGGCAGGTGGATCTCTGAGTTTGAGGTCACTACAGAGTAAGTTCCAGGACAGTGAGAGCTTTTAAACAGAGAAACCCTGTCTTGAAAAATGAAGAAAAAAACCCAAAACCTCAGAGAATTGGATCTCATTTTTGTCCTGTGGTTTCCAGGAATTAAACTCAGTCATTGGGCTTATTGATAATCACCTCTACCCACTGAGCCATTTTGCCTGCCCATAAAAGAAAGAAAGGAAGGAAGGAAGGAAGGAAGGAAGGAAGGAAGGAAGATTGATCCACCACAATAATTACTTAGTGTTTGTTAGTGTTTGTTTTCCTTTTGTTTTTTACTTTTCCCCTTTTCATTTTTTTATAGCAAAGCTATCATCTATCATATTAGTTCTGTAGACCACTTTATTATACTGGTGCCCCCTGAAATTCTGAATTAAATTTTCTATTGCATGTAATCACAATGTTCTATGTGTTCAGTGTTATAGAATTCCTAGATGGAACTATGGAATAAGGAATTTTATTCTATTTTTGCAGAACTTAGTCTTTAATGTAGAAATAAGATTTTAGTTGTAAGTTTAAAGGAGGGATTTTTACTTTAAAATCAGGGTGTAAGAATTCCTAATAAGACCCTTAAATTACAAAGAATTTTGTGTGAGCTTGTATATTTCTGTGGAAAGAGTCTATAGTTTTCATCAGAAATATTTGTAACTCAGTGAAAATTGGAAATCTCTGGTATAAATAGTGGTTTTTATTTGACTGCCCATGCTTTCTTTTTATTAGTCTTGGCCATTTCATCACCCAGTTAATAAGAAGTTCGTTCCAGATTATTACAAAGTAATTGTCAGTCCAATGGATTTGGAGACTATACGTAAGGTTAGTGATTTTTATAACCAATGGCTTTTTATAATCAATGTTTTTGTATATATAGCTGAGTGCCTGATTGTTTTTATCATAGAATATCTCCAAGCATAAATACCAGAGTCGAGAGAGCTTTCTAGATGATGTAAACCTTATTCTGGCCAACAGTGTTAAGTACAATGGTGAGTATTTACTTTTTTTTCCTCTTCCAGCAGTCTTATCTATCAAGCATTAATTTGCATTAAGATTTTAAGGGTGGGCCGGGCGTTGGTGGCGCACGCCTTTAATCCCAGCACTCGGGAGGCAGAGGCAGGCGGATCTCTGTGAGTTCGAGACCAGCCTGGACTACCAAGCGAGTTCCAGGACAGCCTCCAAAGCCACAGAGAAACCCTGTCTCGAAAAACCAAAAAAAAAAAAGATTTTAAGGGTGTAAGCAGCTTTAAGCAGTGATAGCTAAGTCAAGTAACTCAGTTTACTTTTTAAATTTTTCTTTTTCTGCATTTATACCTATGTTGTAAGAGTAGAAGTGCTGTTCTATCTAGTATGCTTTTGAAGGTTAGAGGACAACTTGGTGAGTTGGTTCTATGCCCCCACCATGTGGGTTCCAGGGACTGGACCTAGGTTTTCTGGCTTAGGACCAAACCATTTGGTTTTCTCAGTTTTGTTTGGTTTTGTTATATTTTCTGAGACAGGGTTTCTCTGTATAACAGCCCTGGAACTCCCTCTGTAGATTAGGCTGGCTTTGTACTCACAGAAATCCACCTGCCTCTGCCTCCAAGTGCTGGAAGTAAAGGTGTGTGCCACCACCTCCCAGTGGAATTTATTTTTTAACTGAGTCTTAAGGGATGTTGGCTATTGTGGTTAATACTTAGTGCCTACTGTGCTGAATAGAAGAGAAGGATGACAAAGTTCCAGATAGAGAACCAAATGCAAAAATACGGGAAAGTGCTTTGGATGAGGAAGTACAGATAAGATTAATTTGAATATAGGGTAGTAGTTAGGTTTGATTATAAAATGAGACAAGGGACCAGGACAGCCTCCAAAGCCACAGAGAAACCCTGTCTCGAAAAAACCAAAAAAAAAAAATGAGACAAGGGAGGTAAGACCGTAATTATGAAGGGCCTAGTAAGTCACACTAACCCAGTAGGAGGGAAGAGAGATATAGTTTTAGTAATACTGTTTAGGAAGTTATCCAAATAATGAAGTAGAGGTGAATGAGATTTGGAGACCAGTAAAGAAACTCTGAACAATAGCCATGTTGAAAAACAAACAAAACCTAGCAACCTGAACAGTTAAGAAGCAGCAAGAAAGCCTGGCATGGTAGCACAAGCATGGTACTCTGAAGGCAGTGGCAGGCAGATCTGTGTGAGTTCAAGGATAGCCTGGTCTACATGGCAAGTTCCAGGATAGCCAGGATTCTAAAAAGAGACCCTGTCTCAAAAAAAACAAAAAAATAAGAATGGGAAGGATGAGGTGGTTGGGGGGCAGGGGAGGAGGGAAGGAGAGGGAACTAGGATTGACATGTAAAACAAACTTGTTTCTAATTTAAATTTAAAATGGAAAAAAAATAATGGGAAGTTTGTACAGATGACACAGATAGTAAGAAAGCAAAATTGATACCTTCATACTTGGACCTGATAGAATGCACTTAGAGTTGAACTGCCTCATTAAGGAAAGCCTCGTGGGCCAATTGTAGTGACTCACGCCTTGATTTCCAGAACTCAGGAAGCAGAGACAGGTCAGGTTTCTTTGAGTTCTGCATAGAGTTCCAGGATTACATAGTGAGACTCTCAAAAGTAAACAATAGCAAAAAGACAATATTATAGAACCACTGAACCGCCTCTCTGGCTTCATAAAGTAAATATTAGAAAGAAAAACCAAAGTGGTAAAGATGGAGGCACAGTGCCCAGAAAGTGAGGTGGTGTTGTAGAATGACACAAGTGTCAATTTCAAGTGTAATAGGGCTTCTGAGATCAAGTCTGGGGACTTGGGTTTGGCAGCTAGTGTTTCATCACTGAATAAAAAGTTCAATGAAATGTTTCTTATCACTCTTTATGGGTGGTTCCTTTCCCTACACTTTTGTAGTACTTCATGCTTTATTGAAATTTGAAGTTTGAGCTGGGCATAGTAGTAGCATGTTTTTAATCTCAACACTCTATAAACAGAGGCAGGCAGATCTCTTAGAGGCTAGAAAGGTGGTGAGTGCCAGGCCAGGCCAGCTAGAGTTACATGATTAGACTCTGTCTCAAACAAAACAAAAACCTTAAAGACCATGCTGCTGCTTTTTTGTTGTTGTTGTGTGTTTGTTTTGGTTTTGGGTTTTTGTTTTGTTTTTGTATTTTTTTTGAGACTGTCTTACTATATAGCCCTGGGTAGCCTGGAATTTCCTATGTAGACTACTGAATCTATTTTAAACTAAGTGCTTAAATGAATATTTAAAGCAAGACATGATAGTGCATGCCTATAGAGTCCTAACTACTAAGGCACTTTGAATTTTAGAGTTCAGGACAAACCTGGACAACGTAGTAAGGACCTAGCTCAAAAAAAGTAAATCAGAAAATATATTTTGGGGGTTTCCGTATTACTTTTTTTTATAATTCTAGAGGTTTGAGGTGAGAAAGGGATTGCGATAGTTCATTTGAAGGTTTAAAGGGGGGGGCAGATTTCAGTCTACATAGTAAGTCCCAGGCCAGCCTGGGACACAGCAAGACCCTGTCTCAAAAAATAAAAGTAATAAACCTCAGTAGTAATAGCCTCTATTACTATTTTGTTTGTTTGCTGGAGATAGCTCACACTTTGTAGTTTTGGCTGACCTTGCCTCTTGAGATGGAATTAAAAGCATGCACTGTCACATTTGGCTTATTTTATGCTTTGTATATAACACTGGCTGACCCAGAATTTGGCTATATAGACCAGGCTGGCCTCTGCTTCTTAAGTGTTGGTATTTTCTCTTTGTTTTGTGTATGAGTTGGGGTTTTTTTGAATACTCATTTTCTTAGGAGGGAGTTGTTTCTAGTATTGTAGAAATAGTATTAAGGGAACTGTGAGTCTAGAAGTAATCACAAACCTGTTTACCTACTGAACAGGTGATTTTTCTTTGAAACCTTACGGCTATCTAGCAATATTAATACTTACTTTCCCTTCTCCTTGCTTTGTTCTCCTTACATCATTGTAAGCATGAAGAAAAACATTTTTTTAGCTTGGTGACATGTTGATTTCCTGGAGCAATCATTGAAATTACCACATTACCAAATTACTACTATGGTAATTTTTTTCCACTATGGTAATTTCACTGTGGGTATAAATTGAATGTGATTCTCTAGGCTTTGCAAATCTTTATTTAATTGGGTAAAACTTTATCTTATTTTTATGGTAATTATGGCACCATTCTGGAAGCAACTGTGTGTGTGTGGTTTTCCTTTTAGGGTCTGGGAAATTGTACTTAGATTTCCATTTAATTCTCCCTTCCAGTAGCCCCAACACTTTTTATTGTTCCCAGAGAGGCCCTGTTACCTTTCCTTGTCTCTTCATCTTTTTTCCCAAAGCTGTAAAACCTACAACTGATCTTCCTACTTTTAGTAAGCTCCTGATGTTTTTCAAGATATAGAATAGTATTTTTAGCTTTATGGAGGTGGATAGGCACCTTTTGAAAATTTTATTCTACCCAGAAAAAGATATATTACATACAGAATTTTATACAGGGACTTTGTTAGTCTTTGCATCATTAATTCTTCATTCAAGAACTGCTCTATAGCTAAGAGTAAGAAAATGTCTGGGTATTTTTATCCATGTATCTCAACAATGATTTACCAACTAGAATTTCATTATAAAGACTTCAATACTGTATTTCTTATAATAGCATAATGGAATTAAATAGCTGAAATCCATGTAACTCTTGAACATGGGCTATCTAAAACTAGAAAAAGGCATAAACAACTAGTAATAAAAACTTAGGCAAGGGATATCACTTGTAATTTTTTATACTCTTTTTTTTTTTTTTTTGGTTTTTCGAGACAGGGTTTCTCTGTGGCTTTGGAGGCTGTCCTAGAACTAGCTCTTGTAGACCAGGCTGGCCTCGAACTCACAGAGATCCACTTGCCTCTGCCTCCCAAGTGCTGGGATTAAAGGCATGCGCCACCAACGCCCGGCAATTTTTTATATTCTAGAGGCATTAGTGAATATTTCTTTAGAGTCATTTGTTTCGAAGGAAATGCGGAAGGGAAGAGATCTTTTCAAAATGATTTCCAGAGAGAAACATTGCAAACATAAAATTAATCACCTTTGTATTATAATTGACATATTGAGAAGTTGATCTGCATTTACATGTCAAAACTGAATAAAGGCTGAATTTCTAAACCATGTCCTTGTAGGCATAAGAGCCACTATACAGAAACTGGTGTTATTATTAGTTCAATTTAAATAGGTCGGTAGCCTATCTGCAGCCTTGATTTTTCTCTATCATTACATAACCAGCACATGAAAGTTTGATGGCTTTAAGTTCACATGTAACGTCTCACTTAAAAAAAAGTGGACACCAAGACTAGAAGGCATTGGATAGCTTCTTTCTTTCTCTGCATATTCCTTTGAGGTAGGTTCTCTTCTTGAAGTCGTGATAGACTGCAGGAGAGTAAGTCCCAACAATCCTTCTATCTCTGTTCTTCTCAGATCTGGGATTACAGGTATTTGGGGGGATGCTCACCTTGTCATGCATTTGCTAGGCTGATATCTGACTAGAGTTCAGGTTCGGCGAACAAATGCTGTTAACTACTGAGCCATTGCTCTGAGCCTGCAATAACTCTTTTATTAAGAAAGTGTCACCAAGCCGGGCAGTGGTGGCCCATGCCTTTAATCCCAGCACCCAGGAAGCAGGGACAGTTGGATCTCTGAGTTTGAGGCAAGCCTGGTCTACAGAGTGAGTTATAGGACAACCAGAGCTACACATAGAAATGCTGTCTCAAAAACATAAAAGAAACAAAACCTTAGCCAGGCGATGGTGGCACTCACCTTTAATCCCAGCACTCAGGAGGCAATATATATATATTGTTTGTTTGTTTGTTTTGAGGCAGGGTTTCTCTGTATCTTTGGAGGCTGAACTAGCTCTTGTAGACCAGGCTGGTCTTGAACTCACAGAGATCCGCCTGCCTCTGCCTCCCGAGTGCTGGGATTAAAGGCACATACCACCACCGCCCAGCACTATCTTAATGATTAGTTTAAGTTTCTTTTTGGTTTGTGTCTGACGTGAGGATACAATTTTATTTTATTTTGCAGTTTTTTGTGTGTGTGTGTGTGCTAAAGAGGAAATCCAGAGCCTTGCAAATGCCAGGAAAGTACTCTACCACCAAACTATATCCCCAAGATAGGCAGGGCTAGATGAGGAAAATTCTGGGTAGCGAAGGAGAGAGAGACTGCTGGGAGATGCCATGTAGTGGAGGAAGGAGTAACAGGTCCGGACCCTTCTCTGGTAAGATAAAGCCATGTAGAAATATATAGATTAGTAGTTATGGGTTAATAATTCAGAGAGAGCTAGCCAATAAGAAGCCCTAGCCATGAGCCAACAGTTTTATAATTAATATAGTGTCTGTGTGCGTATTTGGGGCTGAGGGGCGCTGGGACCTGGCAGGACAGAAGCATATATCTTCAATACCTTTAATCCCAGTACTTGGGAGGCAGAAGCAGGAGGATCGCCTGTAAATTGGAGGCCAGCCTGGTCTATGTTATTGGAATATATGGGGGGAGGTAGGAAGAGAGGGGAGAGAGAGAAAAGAAATATGGGTGCCCTCGGGGACCAAAAGAAAACATTGAATCTCCTGGAGCCAGGTAACTGTGAGACATCTGATGAGGCTGCTTAGATCAGAACTGGGATCCTCTGCAAGAGCAGAAAGAAAAATTCTTAACTGATGAAGCATCTCCAGCCCTTGTATCATGGATGTATGATACAAGGTCTCTTAAGTTTTACATGCCAGCCTCAAACTTAACTGTAATTCAGGCTAGCCTTGAAGTTATGATCTGCCGCTTTAACCTCTCCAGCACTCAGGTCTTAAGCCAATCATTAAGATATTAAGGACACAAAGTAGGATGGTGGTGGCACACGCCTTTAATCCCAGCACTAGGGAGGCAGAGGCAGGCGGATCTCTGTGAGTTCAATACCAGAGACCAGCCTGGTCTACAAGAGCTACTTCCAGGACAGCCTCCAAAGTCACAGAGAAACCCTGCCTGGAAACCTACCCCCCCCAAAAAAAAAGACATTAAGGACACAAATAATTAAGAACAGTGTGGTAACATTGGCCTTTTTTGTTTGTTTGTTTTAGAGACAGGGTTTCTTTTTTCCCTCAATATATGTTTTTATTCAAATTAGAAACATGCATACTTCACATGTCAGTCCCAGCTCCCTCTCCCACCCCTCCTGCCTTGTCCCTCCACCAGCTCCCCCAGACCCTCACCCAATCCCCACATCATTTCCCAGGGAGGGTGAGGCCCTCTTTGGGGGGATCTCCAAAGTCTGTCATTTCATCCAGGGCAGGACCTAGGCCTTCCCCATGTGTCCAGGCTGAGAGAGCATCCCTCTATTTGGAGTGGGCTCCCAAAGATCATTCATACACCATAGTAAACACTGATCTACTATCCAAGGCCCCAGTGGTTTCTGTGGCCTCCTCCCTGGAACTACATTCATGGAGTCTGGATCAGTTAGTTCCCTGTTGGCCTCTCATCCATCAGTCTGGGATTCAAGAGCTCCCCCTTATCTGGTCAGTGAGACAGGGTTTCTTTAAATATATGAAATATAGCCAGATAGTATATACTTGGGAGATGATTTACTTGAAAAGGACTTAATTTTTTGGCTTTATTTTATGTGTATGAATGTCTTGCTTGAATGTATTTCTCTGCACCATCTGCATGCCTGGTACCCAAGGAGGTCAGAAGAGAGTGTTGGATCCTCTGTAACTGGTGTTACAGGTGGTTGTGTACACCACCGTGTGAGTGTTGGAAAATCCACGGGTATTCTCTGTAAGAACAAGTGTTCTTAACCTGCTGAGCCTTCTCTCCAGCCCCTGAAAAGGACTTCATTATTCCTATAATGGCTTGTAATAATCATAGTATATGTATATATAGTATACTTTTTGTGGTGTTGTGGACCAAACCGAGGATCTTGTATGTGGTAAGTAACTATCCTGTTAAACTATATCTCTAGCCCCCCTCCCCAAATGTGATATACTTTTACTTCTTTATATAATGGTAAGCTTTTCTAGAATGCTGAAAACCTTGGGTCAATACCCAGCACCACATAATCTGGATGTGGTAGCACATGCCTGTAATTTCAGCATGTAGGAAAAGGTAGGTAGATTCCATGAGTTCCAAGGCCATCATGGGCTGCATATGGAGACCCTGTCTCAAAACAATAAATGAAAAATAAAGAGGAGTTGCTACTCATTCTCAGGCCATTTGTGTCCTAGAAGATGCTAGCCCTTTGCTAAAGTAGAGGAGAGGTCTAAGTTTCCATGTAGGTTTTTCTGAATCTTAAATAATGACATACTCTTGGATAGCAAAGTATAAAATTCTTGTTTTTAAATTGCAATGTATGAGGCTGGAGAGATTGTTAAGTATTTAAGAACACTGGCTGTTCTTCCAGAGCATCAGGGTTAACTTCCCAGCACATGCATAACAGCCCAAAACCATCTGTGACTCCAGTCCAACAGCTTCTTCATGCCACTTTGGATACCAGGCATGCATATAGTATACAAGAATATATGTAAGGGAAACGCCCACATATATAACACAAAAAAATTAATTTTAGTTGAATGGTGGTAGTACACCTTTAGCCCCAACATTCAGGAGGCAGAGGCAAGCAGATCTTTGTGAGTTCAAGGCCATCCTGGTCTACAAAGTGAGTTCCAGGACAGACTCCAAAACTACACAGAGAAACCCTGTCTGCAAAAAGAAAATAAATGAATGAATAAATAGCACAATGTATTAAATCAGTGTGTTAAGGAAATACAAAATTCTTGAAGTTACAAAGGTAATGGCATTTTCCTTCTTTCATAGGGTCTGAGAGTCAGTATACTAAAACTGCTCAGGAGATTGTGAATGTTTGTTACCAGACATTAACTGAGGTAGGTGATTAAGAAGATCCAGCTCCCTGAAACTTTTCTGTTGTGTCCTTGAATTTGAAGCTTTCCTGACTACCCTGTTTTCTTTGCAATGTAATATTCCATCTTCTACCCTCATTCCATTATTTCTTTCTCTGCTTTGTTTAGGTTATCAGCTGTATTCTGCTGTTAGAATAGAATAGAAACACTCTGAAGATGGGGATTGTGTGCGTGCGTGCGTGTGTGCGTGTGTGTGTGTTTGCCTGCCCAGTACCTAAAAGTTGAATGCATTCATTAATTTTATTGTTTCTCAGTATGATGAACATTTGACTCAACTTGAGAAAGATATTTGTACAGCTAAAGAAGCAGCTCTTGAGGAAGCAGAATTAGAAAGCCTTGACCCAATGACTCCAGGACCTTACACACCACAGGTGAGCCAAAGGATTAGGGATTTCTTCCAGTTTTCTTATGGTTTGGGAAATTGGGAGCATGTTAATAGATATGTTTACTGAGATACCGTTCTTCTCTGTCCTTCCTCTTCATATGCCTTTCGTGTGCTTTCTTGTCTTCTCAAAGGCTAAGGTGAGTGAGGGCCATGTATCTTCTTGACCTTGTTAAATCCAGAAGAGGCAACTATGGGATGAATGAGTGGGATGGTTGTTCATAGACAGTGTATGAGAATACCAGATTCCTGACTTCTATAACCAGTGGCATCCTCTAGGTCTTCAGTTCTCTTGTCAGTAAATTTTGGGGTTCTAGGACATCCCTAGAATGTTGGTTGCTCAGTTACAGATGTGCCATACTGTTCTTGTACCTTCTAGACACCTGATTACCCATTAGAGGTATGTCAGCATATCTCACATCACTCAATTTCCTGGGTTAATTTTCTTTCCTACTAAATGAAGATAGTTTATATTTTAAGTTTGTATATTAGAAGACTAATAAGTTCTTATTAGTAAATAAGAAAGTTTCTAGTTTTTCTGGTCTGACTGAATGAACCTCTGAATATTTCCTCCATATTACAGTCTGAGAAAGTTGGCATATTTGAAGAATTGACGTTAAATGGACTGTTAACAGGTCCTTGGTTTCTTTATTGGAGACACAGTGGTAGAGTGGAAAGGACATGAGGTTTGATGTAAAACAGTCCTGGGTATGAGTCTTAGCTTTGCTACTGTCTAGTTTTGTGATATTGAGAAATTAACATTTCTATTTCCATTTCTCTAAGATGTGCTTTCCAATATTAAATGATTAGTTTGTATGGTACATGATAGGCATTCAGTAAATATGTTTTCCTTCTTTGTATGAAGGGTTCTTGTTTTGGTTGTTTGTAAAGTTTCCAGAGACTCTTTAAAATTTAATTGAATTCTTTAATGCAGAATTTCTTCCAATTCCCATAGGATTATTTTCCATTCTATTCAGATTTCACTCTGAATTTAAATGCAGCATGCATGATCTCTGTTGGATTTTTGCTGTCTCTGTGTCTCATTCGTACACTTTCTCTATCTATCTTTTGCTCTCTCATTCATCCCAAAACCTAGGTTACTGAGGGGCCAGGTATAAAGAACCCTCAGATACTTCTTCAAGGTCCATAACAAGGAAAGGCTCTTGGAGTTGTATGGGCAGATTGGGTCAAGGGGGCTTGGGTGAGTGATGTTGCCCAGGAAGGCCTTGTTTGTTAATAGGCTCACAGTTTCTACAAGGTACTTTCTGGTAAGTTAAACCTTGGGTACTAGCCATCATTCTTCAGAATAATCTAACCACCAAGTGGCATGTGCTTTTCTCAAGCCTTGGACAGTCATAAGCTGAGACCATTGGTGAGTCAAAGCCTTGTCCTTACTGAGTAATAGCTGTTTTGGTATACTTAGTGAGTTTCTTGTGAAGAGTATGGTATGGATAGTACTGCTTCATTCTTTTCAGTTAATGCTCTCATCATTCTCTTTATGTGTATACATTTTAAGATAGCCAAGTTTTGCCTGTTAACTCAAGGAAGAACCTCATACGTGAACACCCTTACTCATTACTATATAAAATCAAAACTATTAGAAAGTGTGTATGTAAGGTTAACCTGTCATAATACTGTTGTGATTGTAAAGAAGCATGGTAGTTAATCATGTTATTTTCAACTTCAAAGAATGGCAGTCAATAATGTATTTGCACCTGGATATTTCTACTGAGCTTGCATTGAGCTCAATACTTTGGAATTACTCATTTTACAGTTTCCCACAGTCCTCTTTATTTTCATACTACACTTTAAACTTTTGTAGAAAGTTCCTGGTTTTCCCTTATGTTACATACTGGTTTATCTGTGTACTTATTTGTATTCAAATCTGTTTTGCCTCTATTTTGGAAACTCAAATCTTCTCAGTCAATGTTGTTTGCTTACTTGTTTACAGAGCATCACACGTGGACGTTCATTTGTTTCTTTGAGACAAGGTCTGGCTGTGTGATCCAGACTGGCCTCAAGTTTGTGATCTCCCTAACTGAACTTTCCTAGTGCTGAAGCTATAGGCTTGTACCCCTCTTCCTTGCTCATAAGCAGATTTTGTATTGATCAAAGTAACATGATGATTGGAGAAAACTACAATATGGGGCTGGAGAGAAGGCTTGGCAGTTAAGAGTGCTTGCTGCTCTTTCAGAGGACCTGAGTTTGGTTTCTAGCACCCACATTGTGTGACTTGCTGTTTTAACTTCACCTCCAGAATTTCTGATGCCTTCTTCTGGCCTCCAAAGACACTGCAGTCGCATGCACAAACCCATACTCAAGCATGCACATATACTCATAATTTTACAAAATGAATATATAAATCTTTTTTAAAAAGAAAATTGGGCTGGGCATTGGTGGCACACGCCTTTAATCCCAGCACTCAGGAGGCAGAGGCAGGTGGATCTCTGTGAGTTTGAGGCCAGCCTGGTCTACAGAGCGAGTTCCAGGACAGCCTCCAAAACAATACAGAGAAACCCTGTCTCAAAAAACCAAAAAAGAAAGAAAGAAAGAAAGAAAGAAAGAAAGAAAGAAAGAAAGAAAGAAAGAAAGAAAGAAAATTGGAGCTGGGTGGTGGTGACGCACACCTTTAATCCCAGCACTTGGGAGGTAGACGCAGGGGGATATCTGTGAGTTTGAGGCCAGGTTGGTCTACAGAATGAGTTCCAGGATAGTCAGGACCCTTTCACTGAGGAGCCCTGTCTGGAAAAAAAGGAAATTGTAAAATACAAAAAAGAGGTGTTACTTATCAATTCCATCTTTCATAACATCACCACTGATTATTTTGAGTTTCTTCATATCTGTGGAATGTGTGTTTATGTCTGTAAATATACTTTAAAAGTGAAATTGATGAACCCTGTCTCGAAAAAAACCAAAAAAAAAGTGAAATTGATGGATACTATTTTTCCAAAACGCTTCATGAATATTTTATGTAGTCCCTCCTAGTGTTGACTAGCATCCCTTTGCTAAAACCCTGTTCTTTTCAAGGACAATAAAATAAGAGAGAGGGATCTATGATTTATTGAGTACCAAGTATTGGTACATAGCTCTTAATTCTCATAAGCCTATGAGGTAGATACTATCATTCATGTTTTACAGTTGAGGAAAACAGGATGATTAACAGTGGTAGAGTCAAGACTCAATCCCAGGGCTGTTTACTCCAAAGCCCAAGTTTTGTTTTATTTTTAACAAACCATTTTGCTTTGAAGAATCATCTGCAAGCTCATGAACTGTCAAACCATTCCATGTCCTTGTTGAAATTTAAATTCTTTTATCCAGTTTCTTCTTATATGCCTCTAAGTCAGTAAAACTATCACTAATATGAATCTCTGAGTTTAAGAACATCAAGGCAAGCCAGGCGGTGGTGGCACAAACCTTTAATCCCAGCACTTAGAAAGCAGAGGCAGGCAGATCTCTGTGAGTTCAAGACCAGCCTGGTCTACAGAGCGAGTTCCAGGACAGACTCCAAAGCTATGCAGAGAAACCCTGTCTTGGAAAGGAAAAAAAAACAAGACTTAGAACAAGAAAGTAGATTACTGACCAGAGAGGCTGTTAGTATATAAATTTGTCCCTAAACTTTATGCATTTCTTCTTTAGTTTATGAACACATAGACTAGATGCCAATGTGCTAGAGTGAACGTTATTTGTAGGATTCTAAAAATGTGTGTACAAACCTGTACCAGATTGTGTTTCCTCTTTAACTGGGTTGCCTTGCATGTCCTTTTTCTTCAGTGAATGTTATAAAGGAGAATTCTTTGTATTTCTTCTAACTATTTCCTTGGTAGAAACTAAGTTATATGTTTTATGCCACAGCCTCCTGATTTGTATGATAACAGCACATCCCTCAGTGTTTCTCGAGATGCCTCTGTATATCAAGATGAGAGCAATATGTCTGTCTTGGATATTCCCAGTGCTACTTCAGAAAAGCAGCTAACACAGGTAGGATGTTATTTATTTCTCTTTGTGATATTGGTGGTTTGCCTGATGGGTGAATGTGAAGGAATGGACTGATACTATGTATACGTGAAGGATGGCTGGATCCTTGGCCCTGAAAACAAGGCTTTGAAATTTGATTTCTGGGGCATTGTTGGCAGAATTAAGCACAACAGAACTTCAGGGAAAGTATTGAGGCATCAGATCAGCCTACTAGGTGACTGACTAAAAAGACCAGCTGCATTCTGAGACAGAGTTCACAGTAATTCGCATACTATTTTGTGCATCTTATAAGTTATAAACCAAAATAAAATTATATTTTTTAAACTGGCTTTTTTCCAGAGGTATCAGAATATACTTTTCATCTGAAGCTGTACCTATTCTCAAGGTTCCATGAAAGAGTACAAAACCCAGAAGGATTTTCTTTTTGTTTGTTTGTTTTTCAAGACAGGGTTTCTCTGTGACTTTGGAGGCTGTCCTGGAACTAGCTTTTGTAGATCAGGCTGGTCTCGAACTCACAGAAATCCATCTGTTTCTGTCTCCCGAGTGCCAGGATTAAAGGTGTGCACCACCACTGCCCAGCCCCCAGAAGGATTTTCTGTCCCAAAAGCTTAAGTTAGAAAGGAAACATTCCCTTCTGATGACATTTAAGAGTATACCGAAAATCTTCCTATTCTTTGGTTTTCTTTCCCTGTCTATTATTTCCAAAGAAAGACTGGGGGGAAATGCACATGCCTTGAGCTATGTAAACAGCCTCCACTAGCAGTGAGATTGGCTGGGATATCAGGGAAAAGCATCTGTCCTTGGTAAAGAACCCTTGGTTAACTCCTACAGGCACATCCCCCAATAATGTGCTATTTGTGTTCCTTACTCAGATTCACCAGGGCCGAGGTAGGCTGGGCAAGGAAGACTCTGGTATAGATATTGAAGGGTATGATGAGGAGGAGGATGGGAAACCTAAGACTCCAGCCCCATTGAGTATGCTTACAGAAAGCTTATGGTAACGTTATACATTTATATGATAGGAACCCTAAGTAGTACAGGGCAAGCCAAATCCCAAGGTTATGATACCATAGAATTTCTCCATAGTGAGCCTTTAATCCTTTGAATGAGCTAGACAAAACCATCCACTACAATTATTTAACTTCTTTTTTTATATATTATTCATTTATTTATTTTGTATACTCTCTTGTGCTTGCATGCCAGCAGAGGGCACCAGATCTCATTCCAGGTGGTTGAGAGCCACCATGTGGTTGCTGGGAATTGAACTCAGGACCTCTGGAAGTACAGTCAGTGCTCTTAACCGCTGAGCCATCTCTCCAGCCCCCCAATCATTTAACTTCTTGTGAGGCAGCAAATGGAATGCGGGGGAAAGAAGGTATTCTGATCTCTTACTTAGTCAGTGATGGGACTGCCACCTGAACTTGTTTAGGAAGGTGAAGATGGAGATGGTGATCTTGCAGATGAAGAGGAAGGAACTGTACAACAGCCTCAAGCCAGTGTCCTGTATGAGGATTTGCTTATGTCTGAAGGAGAAGATGATGAGGAAGATGCTGGGAGTGATGAAGAAGGAGATAACCCTTTTTCTGGTGAGTCTTGCTCCTTTGCATCTGTTTCTATATTGCTCACTAAATAGAAGCCCCTTTTGTACTTGCTATGTGCTATTATAAAAAAAATCTGTCGCTGGGCGTTGGTGGTCACGCCTTTAATCCCAGCACTCGGGAGGCAGAGGCAGGCGGATCTCTGTGAGTTCTAGGCCAGCCTGGTCTACGGAGAGAGTTCCAGGACAGCCTCCAAATCAATACAGAGAAACCCTGTCTCGAAAAACCAAAAAAAAAATCTGTCCCTTTTATTGGTGCCCCATTAGACCTAAGAGGATGATCATGTTCATTAGCCTAAGGGGAAAGTGAAGATGAACAGACACAGGAAGCATAACAGTGGAAAAGGCAGTGCCCAGGCAACAGCTTTGAAGAATTGTGTTTGGGAACAGGAAAGGAAAATTAAGAAAAATAATTTCAATGGTAAGGTAAAGGTATTGAAAATGATAGAAAACAGGTAAATTAGACTGAGATAGAAGAAATAAGTTACTTAAATTCAGTTTCTAAACTATAGATCTTGCTACTATTGACATTTGTTACTTAAAGAGAGATCTGAGAGGTGAGGACTATAGACTTGAAGTCTATATAGACTAGTTTTGGAGTACTAGTCTGAAGATGGTAATTCTGACAAGAACTTTTAATTCTCTTGCTCTTGTTTTTGTTATTTTGGTGCTGTGGCTCAAAATGTACTATCTCATACATGTGAGGTCAATATTCTAGCACTGAGCCATACCTCTAGCCCATCAAGCTTATCTCATAATTAACCACAATCTTTTTTTTTACAGCTATTCAGCTAAGTGAAAGTGGAAGTGACTCTGATGTGGGATCTGGCAGTATAAGACCCAAACAGCCCCGTGTGCTTCAAGAGAATACGAGGATGGGCATGGAAAATGAAGAAAGCATGATGTCCTATGAGGGAGATGGTGGGGAGGTTTCCCGTGGTTTGGAGGATAGCAACATCAGGTAATGGGCATCAATATGCTACTGGGCTCTAGTATCATTTCCTAAGCTCCTCTACTTGAGCCAGGCATTGTCTGAACCCTGGAAATGGAATGCATAGATGAATAAGATATAGCCTGCCCTTAAGGACCTCTTCTAGTGGAGGAGGATTGACACAAATCATTACAGATACAATGTCATAAGTTCTTAAGCACAAATAAGTACAGAGTACTGAGGTATCCCTAAAAAGGGACTGTCTTACTGTGCTTTTGATTAATCGGTAAATTTCACATAGAAGCATTTGAACTATGCCTTAAAGGATGGATAGGAATCTGCTCAGCATATACAATGGCAGCAAGGGGGATAGAGTTTTACAGATGAAATATGTCAGAGGCATAGAAATACAGCATGAAATGTGTTCAAGAGTAATTGGAGGCGGCCGGGCGTTGGTGGCGCACGCCTTTAATCCCAGCACTCGGGAGGCAGAGGCAGGCGGATCTCTGTGAGTTCGAGGCCAGCCTGGACTACCAAGTGAGTTCCAGGACAGCCTCCAAAGCCACAAAGAAACCCTGTCTCGAAAAACCAAAAAAAAAAAAAAGAGTAAATGGAGGCATTGGGAAATTAAGACTTTTGAAATAGCAAGACCATATATAGTAGAGGACCATAAATTACATGCCAAGGTGTTTGGATTTTGTTCTGTTAGTTCATGCTTTCAGGAAAAGGAAGTTGTCAGCTAAGCTGGCACACTTGTGTAATCTTAGTATTTAGGACATGAAATAGGAAGATCCTAAATTCAAGGTTAGCCACGTATGGTGGTGCGTTGCCTAAGAAGAGGCAGATGGATCTCTGAATTCAAGGCCAGCCTGGTCTGCATAGTGAAGTCTAGGTCAGTAAAACACTGTGTCCAAAACAGCAACAACAGAAAACTAAAAAACCTGGGGTATGTATTGAGGTTCTTTCTAAAAACAAAACAGCTGGGTGTGGTAAAGTTCACCTGTACACACTTTTCAAGGTACAGGTAGGAAGGTCAGATATTAAAGAATCCTCAACTACAAGGTGAGTTCAAAGCTAGGCAGGGTTACATGAGACATTAAACAAAATAAGAAGAGAAAGTAGCATTAAATTAGTATTAAGTAAAAATTCTCACTTTCGGACTTAACTCCCAAGTTCAACTGAATACTGCTATTTTTCTGTCCTATACTGATCTTTTTTTTTTTTTTTTTTTGGTTTTTCAAGACAGGGTTTCTCTGTGGCTTTGGAAGCTGTCCTGGAACTCACTTTGTAGACCAGGCTGGCCTCAAACTCACAGAGATCCGCCTGCCTCTGCCTCCCGAGTGCTGGGATTAAAGGCGTGCGCCACCAACGCCCGGCGCCTATACTGATCTTAAAAGTTACTTAATATACAAATTTCTGAGGAATCAGAATCTCATTTTTATTTATTTTATTTTAATTAATTAGCTTATTTATTTATTTCAAGACAAGGTTTCTCTTTATAACATTGGCTGTCCTGGAATTCACTATTAGACACTTAAGTATCTAAAATGTATAGAAAATAGGTCATATAAAGCCGGGCATTGGTGGCGCACACCTTTAATCCCAGCACTCGGGAGGCAGAGGCAGGCAGATTTCTATGAGTTCCAGGCCAGCCTGGTCTACAAAGTGAGTTCCAGGACAGCCCCCAAAGCCACAGAGAAACCCTATCTCGAAAAACCAAAAAAGAAAATAGGTCATATATAAAAATATCTCTGCCAAAAAAAATTATCTCTGCATGGTAGAGATATTGCTGAGCCCCCCTCCTTTTTTCCAATTTTTTAATAGTGAATGTGCATTTGTGATTTTTTTCAGAAATAAAATTAGAATAAACAAGCTGAAAATAGAACGCTCTGGCAGAAGGAACTCAATACTAGGGCCATGAAGACTTATTTCAGTAGTGCAGGCCAGGAAAGTTAGCACAGGACTCAGCAACAGCAGACAGAGCAGGAATAGAAAGGAGGTAATAGAGACAAGGTATATTAGATTATTCAGGGCTGCTGCCCAATTTCAAATACATAGATAAGTGAAACTAAGTGTCAAATGAAATAGTGGGGCTTGACAGCATTTGTGGTCAGATTAGCTGATAATGTGTGTTGGTTGATCAGCATCAGGAAGTTTATTTCAGGTTTTCGTGTATAAAGTCGACAAGTTGATGTTTTTGAATGGGATAATTTTTTTCTTAGGGGCCTTGTGGAACAGTCAAGAACCCATTATTTTAGTGTCTACGGGAGGTTGAAATGAGCTGATCCCTTGTCAGTACAAAGCATGGGAATGAAAAAAAAATGGCCAGGCGTTGGTGGCACACGCCTTTAATCCCAGCACTCGGGAGGCAGAGGCAGGCGGATCTCTGTGAGTTCTAGGCCAGCCTGGTCTACGGAGAGAGTTCCAGGACAGCCTCCAGAACAATACAGAGAAACCCTGTCTCGAAAAACCAAAAAAAAATAAAGGCATGGGAATGGTAAGATAATTGTTTCTCTTCTCAGTTATGGGAGCTATGAGGAACCTGATCCCAAGTCGAACACCCAGGATACAAGCTTCAGCAGCATCGGTGGGTATGAGGTATCAGAGGAGGAAGAAGATGAGGAAGAGCAGCGTTCTGGGCCCAGCGTACTAAGCCAGGTCCACCTGTCTGAGGACGAGGAGGACAGTGAGGATTTCCACTCCATTGCTGGAGACAGTGACATGGACTCTGATGAATGAGGCTTCCTTTAAGCCTCTTCAGTAAGCTTAGGTTGATTACCTTTCCCCCAGTTTATTTATATGTGTATAGTAGCTAATAATGATATTACCAGATTACCACTTTAGCTTTAGTAATAATAAGTAAATAGTAATCTCTCCAGATCCTGGAGTAGCAAATTCTTTCTGTAACCACTACCAAGAAGAGAGAGCAGACTCACTCTTCCCCATTACACTCTTTTAATGGCATTTATTGCTGTTGGTATATAAACATGGCACCATTTCACTTTCTAATTTTCAGGCTGGGATAGAGAATTAGTTATTTGGATATGCAATACCTTGTTCCTAAATAGATTAAAGGGACATAGCTATAAATCTTTGAAACAGCCTATGCATCCAAAATGATAGGTGTCCATGTAAATGTGCTCTCCCCTGCCCTAGGAAAATTACGGATAAATGGTAAGCTTCTTAAAGCAAAGACTATCTTTTCTTTCTTTTTTTGCTTAAGATATGGGTCTATGCAAAGTAGATACTCAGCAAATGTTCTTAAAATCATGGAATCCCAAGATATATTACTGTATATCTGTTCCATGTTAAGTACTCTGTCAGATCCTTGGAGTACAAAGGTTAAGTAAGAGCATGTCATCAAGTTGGGGAAAGGAGAAAGGAATTCAAACCATGTTTTAAATTGTAGAACTGTAATACAAGTACAATTAAGAAGCTTAGCTGTAAAGTTTAAAGAAAAATTGAAAAGAGATCATGTGTGGAAAAGCAGAGAAGTCTTCCAGAGACCACCTGAAAGCTGATTGTTGAAGTCATTGGTAGGTGTGTAACAGCCCAAAAAGTCCAGGTAGGGTGTTATCATGAAGGGAAATGTTCAAAGTCTAGATATGACAGAATGTATTACTTCTTTGTACCTGCCTTGTTTCAGAAAGGATGCTGGAATGACTAGACATGACACTGAAAGACGGACAGGAAGCATATCTTCAAGAGCTTTGCATTTGAGCCAGGCGGTGGTGGCGCACGCCTTTAATCCCAGCACCTGGGAGGCAGAGGCAGGTGGATCTCTGAGTTTGAGGCCAGCCTGGTCTACAGAGTGAGTTCCAGGACAGCCAGGACACAGAGAAACCATGTCTCAAAAAAAACAAAAAGAGGGAGAGAGAGACAGAGAGAAATTTGCATTTGATACCAGTGAGTGAATTTTTTATTTAAGGAAATAAAGTCTAGAGAAGTGCTTTAGATTTGTTTCAGAAACTTTCTGAATATTGAAGATAGAAATTGAGTCAAATAATAGACATGTATGATCCCATTTGTATAAGAGTCAAAAATCAGGTGTATATGATATGTTTGTATATACTTATATGTGCAAAGGAAAAGATGCGAAGGAGTTTATGTTAAATTGTTCAGAGTGAACCTCTGGGGATGGGAATGGAGAGGAGGTGGTTCATTTAGTTTATGTATACTGGGTGAATATTATGCTTTTATTTCTGTATCATTTACATTTTTAGTGTGTATTATTTTTATAATAAAAACTTTAAAATTTGCCGGCAGTAGTGTGGAGAGTGAGTTGGAAGGAAGAAAAAATGTAGTTCAGGCTAAGGGGAGTGGAGCCCAACATAGGGTGGTGGTGGCATTGAGACATCTTCAGAAAGGAGTGTGACCAACAATAACATATTAGCACTCAGGACAGAAAAGAAAGACTAAGGTTTCTAGAATTTTAACTTTGAGATTAGATAGGTAATGGTATTTCTCTTTTTCTTTTCTTTTTCTTTTTTTTTTCTTTCTTTTTTGTTTTTCAAGATAGGGTCTCTGTATTGTTTTGGAGGCTGTCCTGGAACTCACTTTGTAGACCAGGCTGGACTCAAACTCATGGAGATCTGCCTACCTCTGCTCTGCCTCCTGAGTGCTGGGATTAAAGGTGTTACCCCACCACCACCACCGCTGCCGCCGCCACCACTACCACTGCATGGCACATGATATTCATTTTATATTGCTCATTTATTTGTTTGTTTATTGGAGGGAGGTTTGGGACAGGGTTTCTCTCTGTAACAGCTCTTAACTGTCCTGGAACTTGATTTGTAAACCAGACTCACAAAGATCCACCTGCCTCTGCCTCCCTAGTGCTGGTGGGATTAAAGGCGTGCACCATCTCTGGGCTTAGATTTATTTTTTTCTTTTACTAAAATATAGTTACATAATTTCTTCTTTCTACCTCCTTCCACTAACCCTTCCCATACTCCCCCCTCTCAAATGCATGGTCTCTTTTTCTTTTTTTTTTTTTTTTTTGGTTTTTCGAGACAGGGTTTCTCTGTATTGTTTTGGAGGCTGTCGGTCCAGCCTGGCCTCAAACTCACAGAGATCCGCCTGCCTCTCGAGTGCTGGGATTAAAGGCGTGTACCACCAACGCCCGGCCCTCTTTTTCTTTATTATATTTACTTCCATTAAGTATTTAGTATACTTATACTTATTTCTATTAAACAGTGTGAGACATAGCTGGGTGTGGTGGTGCACACCTTTAATCTCAGCACTCTGGAGGCAGAGGCGAGCGGATGTCTGTGAGTTCAAGTCCAGCCTGGTCTACAAGAGCTAGTTCCAAGACAGCCTCTGAAGCCACAGAGAAGCCCTGTCTCAAAAAAAAAAGATTTCCAGCTTCAGGCTCAGATAGTTATTTTAGAGCAATCATTCTGGTAGCAGTATGACTTTGTTTTATTTTCTTCTTTGAATTTATTCTTATATTATGTACATTGGTGTTTTACCATGGGTGTCAGTTCCCTGGAAATGGAATTACAGTTATGAGCTGCCTTGTGGGTGCTGGCAAATGAACTCAGATCCTCTGGAAGATCAGTCAGTGCTTAGCCATCTCTCTAGCTCCCAGAAGTGTGATTTTAGATAGAGAAGAAAGGTGTCAGATGGTAGATAGATGATTGAGACTTAAATCATAACTGGCTCTCTGATAGCAGAGATGAAATGAAATTTCTGTCTTAACTGGATTATGGGAAGTAAAGAGAGTGGAATCTGTGTCACTGACTTAGGAGTTTTGAGTCACTGAAAAGTGGCTCTTAAGTTTCAGTTAGAAGTATGTGAGTTTCACATAGGCTTGTATAAAGCTTAGGGTTTCTGCAATCTAGATGGTGGACAACATGGATAGAATCAGTGAAGAGTATGTACTGCTCTTAAAGAGGACCCTAGTTTGATTCCTAGCACCCACCTGAAGCTTTGAGCACCTACACACATCTGCACATCCATACTCAGAGACTTGTACATAATTAAAAATAAATTTTAAGAAAATGGCTTCTTTATTTTTACTTTTAGAAGAATTTCCCCTTTATTAAAAATAGATTCTTTTCTCAAACAATATATCCTGATTACAATTCCCCTCCCTTTATACTTCCTAGTTCCTTCGCACCTACCCTCCTGTCTAGATACACTCCCTTTGAGTCTCTCATTAGAAAAGAGCAGGATTCTAAGAGGTAATGACAAAACATAGCAAAATAAAATAAAAGATAAAACAAAAAACACCATGTCAATGTTGGGCAAGGCAAACCAACAGAAGGAAAAGAGCCCTAAGACAAGGCACAGTAATCAAGACCCACTCATTCACACACTCAGAGGAGTCCCATAAAAACACTAAACTGAAAGCTATAATATGTACACAGAGGACCTGGTGCTGACCCATTATAGGCCCTGTGGTTGCTACTTTAGTCTTCATATGAACTTGCTCAGTAGTTTTAGAGTGCCTCATTTTCCTGGGATCCTCCATCCATCCATCCCCTCTGGCTCTTATACTCTTTGTACCTCCTCTTGCTTGAGGTTCCCCGAGCTCTGAGGGGGTGGAATTTGATGGAGGCATCCATATCCCATTTAGAGCTATGTATTCTGATCTCTCTCTCTCTCTCTCTCTCTCTCTCTCTCTCTCTCTCTCTCTCTCTCTCTCTCTCTCCCTCCCTCCCTCCCTCCCTCCCTCCCTCCCTCCCTCCCTCCCTCCCTTCTCCTCCCACTCCCTCTCTCCCCCTTCTCTCCTTTATCTCTCCTGGCTATGGGTCTTTGTATTTGTTCCCATCCACTGTAGGAGGAAGTTTCTCCAATGATGGCTTAAAAAGACACTTATTTGGTTCCCTGGCAGGAATCTAACAGTTTCTTTAAAAAATAAAATGTAGCTGGGTTGGGCGTTGGTGGTGCATGCCTTTAATCCCAGTGTTCAGGAGGCAGAGGCAAGTGGATCTCTATGAGTTCGAGGCCAGCCTGGTCTACAAAGCTACACAGAGAAAGGCTGTCTCCAGAAAAGCCCCCAAAAAAGCACAGACCCCAGTCATAAAGCTGGGGAACCAACATTAGACTGATCCAAACCTTCTGAATGTGAATGTCAGTTAGGAGGCCTGGGCAGTCTATGGAACCTCTAACAGTGGATCAGTATTATCCCTAGTGCACAAATGAACTTTGGGAGCCCACTCCCCTTGGAGAGCTACTTGATACTTGACAGACTTTTATGATACCCCCCAAGGAAAGCCTCACCCTCCCTAGGGAGTGGAATGGGGTTTGGTTGGGGGCATGGGAGGGAGAGGGAGGGAATTGGGATTGATATGTAAAATAAGATTGTTTCTAAATTAAACAATAAAAAGTAAATTATCCAACAGGAGCAAAGGGATTGAATAATAATATATCTATTCAGTGAAAAATACACAGCTGCTAATAAAACTCTGTGATATGCTAGTATGTAAAGAAAGGAGAATATTAGTCTATGCTCATGTACTTACAGAGTATAAAATGTACTGAGCAATATGTCCTTTGAACTGCTGAAACCTTGGAATGAGACAGATGGACAGGATTTACTCTTGACGTAAGCCTTTCTGTTCAATTTTTTTCAATTTGGGGTGTGTCTTATACGTACTTGTAGGTACAAATTTGTATGGAGGCCAGAGGTTGATGTCGGATGTTTTTACCTAATTGTAATCCACTATTATCCTTTGAGACAAGGTGCCTCAGTGAACTGGAGCCTCACTGATTTTAGTAAACTAACTGGCCAGAGATCTTCAGAGGTCTTCCTGTCTGTA